TGATCTGATCAGCCACACTCAGACATACTGCACGTTGACCCCGACATAGTGCTGTCCTTTTGGTCTACCTCAGGTAGCTCGCTAAATAGAATGCTGGACCTGGAACTAGGAATAACAGTTCAAATCTGGTGTCATTTAGTAACTGTGTGACCCAGAGTGAGTCACCTAACCTCACTTAACCTCATTTCTTCGTCTGTAAAATGAGGATAATAATAATCCTAGGGTTGTTGTAAGAATCAAATGAGATAATATTTGTGAAACATATAGTTATATAAATGCTAGCTATTATTAGCTGCAATAATTATTTTTTACCTCTCTGCAGCCTTTGACGTTGCCAATCACCCTCTTCTCTTCAATACTCTTTCTAAGTTTTTGTGACCCTGGTTTTCTCCTAGTTCTCCTTCTACCTATCTGACAGCTCCTTCATGCCTGCTAATCATAAATGTCCACTTCAGCTCTGTCATAGGCCTTCTTTTCTCTTCTCTTCTCTTCTCTCTATACTGTCTCACTTGGTGATCTCATCAGTGCCCATGGATTCAATTGTGATCTCTCTGCAGTTCATTCTCAGATCTACATGTCCAATCCTAGTCTCTCTCTTGAGCTCCAGACTCACACCACCAAATGCCTTTTGAGCATCTCAAATTAAATATTCAAACTCAGTGTCCAAACATGAACTCACTATCTTTCCCACCAAAACTTTCCCCTTTTTCAACTTTCCTAATTTTATCAAAGGCAACACCATTTTCCCAGGCACCTAGACCTAAGGATCATCCTCAACTCCTCCCTCTAACTTATCCCACATACCCAATCTGTTGCCAAGTCTTGTTTTTACTTTCACCAGATCACTCCTCAATGTCCCCTTCTCTATACTCATGTAGCCACCACCTTGATACAGGCCCTCATCACCTCATGCCTGAACTATTCCAATAATCTGGTGGCTGGGCTCCCTGTTTCAAATTTTTCCCCACTCCAAACCATCATTCAGCTACGAAAGTGATTTACCTAAAGCTCAGGTCTGATCACACCCACACACCCACACATACACACACCCCCATAAACATAGAACTACAGTGGCTTCCTATTACCACCAGAATCAAATATAAAATCCTTTGTCATTTAAAGCCCTTTACAACCTGGACTTTTTCTGCATATCTAGTATGATAACACTTTACTCCCCTCCACAGACTATGATCCATCTACACTGACCTTGCATACAACACTTCATCCCCTCGATCCATACCTTTTCAATGGCTTTCTCCCAGGCCCAGAATGTCCTCCCTCCTTACCTTCTGGCTTCCTTCAAGACTCAATTCATATCCCATCCTCTCAGGAAGCCTTTCCCAGTCCTGCCTACTACAAGGACCTTCCCTCTGAGATTGCTTCCCATTTATACTGTACATAATCTTGTATGTACACATATATTTGCATGCTCCCTCCCCATATAGAATGTGAGCTCCTTGAATGCAGGGACCATCTTTTTTGCCTTTTTTTGTATCCTCAGAGCTTAATACAGTGCCTAGCATACATTTAGGGCTTAATAAATGTTGTTGACTGACTTACTCTAGGAAAATTAGACTATTCAATCTTTTTTGCTATTGATTTGCTGTGTGATATTTAACTATGTTGGGTTTTAGTTTCACCACCTAGAAAAGGAGGGGGCTAGTAAGAAAAATGGAGTGTGGTGAGAAGAGCCTTAGAATGGGCTTTGACTTCCAGCTCTGGTACTGTATTAGGTGTGATTCTGGGCAAGCCCTTTCCCCCTCTGGGCCTCAGTCTCACTTGTAAGATGAAGAGGTTAGGCAAATGATTTCTGGGGTCCCTTTTAGCTCTAAATTCTGAGTCAGTAATGGAGCTGGAGAACTACAGCTCCAGCTACCACATTTTACAAGAACCCCCTTTGTGCTTTGTTAGCTGCCAAATAAATAGCTTTCCAGGTCCACTCATTGCCTTGCAATTTAGCAACTTCAATTCAACAAATAATTATTAAGCACCTACCATGTAAAGAGCATTCTGGTGGGTAGTATTTATGGCTGTGGCAGAGGTCTGCCATACTTTCCTCACAGAGACCACAGACCCTAAGTGCCCTCCTCGAAGCCAATCAAATGATTTTCATTAAGTTCTTCCTCTTCCATTTTGAGAAGACTGAGCTCAAGTGAGTGGTATGTGTGAAGGAAGGACTTCTGTAGAGCTTTAGGGGTTAAGAAAACTATGGAAATTGCAGAACATGGAGTCCTACAGCCCCCTTCTTCCTCCCTCCTATGACATGATCACTACCTTCAGGTATTCGGTGGGCTGTCATGTAGAAGGATTCAACTCATAAAACTAGACCAAGAGCTTGAAGGAACTACTTTTCGTTGTTGTTGTGCAGTTGTTTCAGTCATATCTGATTCCATGACCCCATTTGGGGTTTTCTTGACAAGGAAAGGAGTGATTTGTCACTTCCTTCTCCAGCTCATTTTGTAGATGAGGAAACTGAGGCAAACAGGGTTAAATGACTCACCTAGGGTCACATAGCTAGTAAGTGTCTGAGGCCAGATTTAAATTCACTAAGATGAGTTTTCCTGACTCCAAGCTTGGCACTTTATCCATTGTGCCACCTAGCTGCCCCAAAGGAACTAGTTAAAGGTCATCTAGTCCAGCACTTTTTAAACTGTGGGTCATGACCCGATATGGGGTCGCATAACTGAATGTGGGAGTCATGAAAAATTTGGCAACAGTAAAAGTTTCTTAAACACACAATGACCAAAAATTAATTCAAAATCAGAAGCGTAATGAATCTGGGGTGTTTCTGGAAGTGTTCCTTAACGTGACTGGCATGTGCAGTGCAAAGTTCAAGTGTTGAGGGGCAGTTAGGTGGTGCAGTGGATAGAGCACTGGCACTGGAGTTAGGAGGACCTGAGTTCAAATCCGGCCTTAGACACATAACACTCACTAGCTGTATGACCCTGAGCAAGTCACTTAACCCCAATTGCCCTCACCAAAAACAAAAAACAAACAAACAAAAAAAAAAGCATGAGTGTTGTGTGTCCACAGCCAAGGCTGCAGTGAAGTTGCATGATGCAACCCGAGTAAGCACTGCCAGAAACACCTCGGCTCAGATTCAAGACTATTGTATGTTATGAATTGCAGTATTTTTACTGTACATATAAAATCATTAAATGAATTTTGGCTTGGGATTAGGACAGAATTTCCAACAATTTCTGAAATGGCCCTACACATACCATTTTGTACTATATATTTATATGAAGCGGCATTCTCAGCATTGACAATTATAAATCAAAATATCAATCAACTTTGAAAAATGTTGAAGATGCTCTACGTCCTACGGTATCAAATATTCCACCAAGATTTAATTCTTTATGTAAAGATAAATAAGCATGTACATCTCATTAGTATGCAAATTTGCTTCCATCTTTAATAAATGGCAAAATTATATGTATACCAAAGAATTGTTTTAAAATAAATTTCTTTTTGATTTATTATCAGTAAGTGTTTGATTTATATACCTATATATACCTGGGGTCACATAAAAATTTCTCCAGCAAATAAGGGTCATGAATGAAAAAAGTTTAAGAAGTCCTAATTTCTAGTTCAATCCCCTAATTTTACAGATGGGGAAACTTGATCACACAGAGGTTAAATAACTCAACACACACAGATAAGTGGCAGAGCCAGGTTACCTGATATGATTGGCCCCAAAACTGAGAGTTAAGACCAAGGATGGAAGGTTCAGGGAGATTTGGTCCCCAGCCAAAGATTTACTAGAGGACATGGGTCGAACAAGAGTTGCAGGGGATGAGAAGGTTTGGAAACTTTGTTATCTGAACCATTGGAGAGAAAAACCACATTAATGAGGTTATAAATCCAAAAGTATTGAAAGTATTCATGTAGTACTTTGTTCCTTGAGTACTCCAATACTCTTAATGATTCTTGTATTTTAAAAGCTTTATATAAATATGAGCTAATATTATTATTGTTGGGTTAAATGGAAATAAAAATTGTCAATAGAAATGATAGAAAAATCAGTAGAATGGGATCAGAACGTTTTTATTCCAACCCCCTTACAATCACTTTGTGTTGTTTGAAGTTTTTATTCCCACCAAAGGGTCTTTTATGGAATGTTTAAAGGATCTGGTCAATCCCAGGAGTCAGCTTACTGAGGTGCCTAGAAATTACTGTGGCACCTAGAATTTGCAATGCAGTCGTTTAAGAAATTACAAAAATCCACTCTATATTTCCTGCCCATGTACATTGGAAAAGTTCATCATGCTAGAAAGCCCCACTCTTCATAGATGACTGTGGGGAGCCAATCTGGGTGTTCCCAAGGCTTCTCAGATGCTACTACCCTTGCTTCACCTACCTAAAAGGAAAACAGACTGATGCCTGAAGAACCAACCACTATCCTTAAGGTAGTCCAGAAGTACTGCCACCAAACATGTTTTAGTCCCTTGTATGTTGCATTCCAGAGGCCCTTGGAGGTCCTTTTGCAGACCCTAAGTGGCTGTAATTTTAGATTAGAATCAATGTCCTCTAGAAATAAGCCATCTCATCTCCAACCCCTTCTTTCTAAGTTGAAAATTGCATCCAGTGCCTGGATCCAAGGCAAACTTGTCAGAGTCTAGTTTAAAGTTACAATTTCCATTTGATATAGTACAAAATAGCCGTGGACTTAATGGGAAGACTAAGTTCTAACACCAAGTTTGTCACCTCTAATCTGTTCATATCTGGACAGTTCACTTCCCTTTCCAGAGCTTCAGTTTCTTCACCTGTAAAATGGGTATAATAATGGCCTTCCCTATCAATCAAATAGGGCGGTTGTGAGGAGCCAAGGAGTTAATGGATGAGAAGTTACTTTATAAATTATAAAATATCATGTGAATGTATGTGTGTGTGTGTGTGTGTTTGCGTGTATATACACACATACACAGAGATAAAGAGACAGGGAACGAGAGAGAGGGATAGTATCATTGTCAGGTAAGAAAGCTAGAATCATTCTGTACCTGCAGCAAGAAGAGATTCATCTTCCGAAACTACCAGAAGCTGCACAGCAGTGGGGACTTTTTCCAGCAGACTGCTTCCCTGAGGGGAGATCTGTTTTGGGGGGAAGAAAGGGGAGATACATAGTAAAATTTTAAATTTAAATTCCCAAAAGATCCACTGAAGATGATTCCCCATGTAATAGCAGATTAAGACCCTAGGCATCACAATTAGAGGTTGCACCCCATTTTACCTCCCCCCCCCAGTGATTTCACCAAACTAACAGGACTAGCAAGTTAAGTATTCTTTACTGGTTCCTAGGACATACTTCATGCCTAGCAAGGAAATGGGATGATACAGTGTCCTCTCCTCTACCGTTTTCTTTCTAGCCCTGCCTCTTATAAGAGAACCCTGTATAATCCCATAATCTCTTCTAGATTAGATTAAAAATGAAAAAGGGATATTTTCTGGTAGACCACCCCTTTTGCTTTATGCTCCTCTGTATATGCATATATCCTATTTTAATAAAATAAACTCCATTCCTGTGTTCCTTTGTTCATATGGAAGGAATTCAGGTAACTTTAAAAAAAAAAAAAATGAAAGAGGGAGCTGTCACCTTCAAGTCCGGACCCTGGAGTTATAAAAGGAAAAATCTTCCTTCTGGGAAGACAGAAAGCAAACTGTTCTTAAGACTTTTTGCGTATTGGCTGCTCTCGTACATGTGCTAGCTAAACACTGTTCTTATTCAGTAAACATTTATTATAAACATAGAACTGGTTCTTTCTGACAAAAAAAAATCCAGTTCATTTTTTTGGCCATCATCTGAGCAGAACGCTGTGCACAGTTACTCAAAGCTCAGGGCTGTTAACGTTGGTCCTTGAATTTCATCCAACTTACTTTGATCCAATATGGTGCTGTAACTGAGGGGACCAATCAGGGATCAACTGTGATGAACTGAGATCGATCATTCTTTCCACTGTATCACACTGCCTCAAGTAGTGAGTGCCTCATCGCTGGAGCTCTTCAAGCAGAGCTGATTGAACACTTGTTATGAGTGTTGTAGAAGGTATTTATTCTTGCTGCAGACAGGGTTGCATTAGATGGCTTCTGAAGTACTTTTCAGTTTTAAGATCCTTTGGTTCATATGCTAGTTATGGGGAGGCAGATTTTAGCTCATTCTAAGAAAGAACTTTCTAACTATCAAAGCTATCTAACAACCAAACCAGCTACCCTGTAAGGTAGTGAACTTCTTCTCATGTTCAAACAAAGCCTGATTGACATCAAGCCAAGAATATTATAGAGAAGTTTCATTAATTGGTTAAATGGTTAGAATCAGTAACCTCTATTTATTTCCTCTGGCATCTTATAGACTAGAAAAAGTACTGGTTTTGGAGTTTGGATACCTATTCAAATCTCAGCTCTAACACTATAAATATGAACTTGGGCAAGATCTTTTACCTCTTCAATCCTCAATTTCTAATCTCTAAAATGAGAATATTTAATCATCTCCCTCACAATGTTGTGAGGAAAGTGCTATAGATAGGATAATTATTTTTTTATGATTTGCTGTATTGATATGAGTCAGTAGGTTTGTAATGCCTTTCTCCTCCCCTTTTCTATTTCATAGAAATGGAATGTTTTTATACTGGAGGAGAGTACAATGGCAATTACATCGATAATGATTCTTAGGCAATAAATGGCTCGTATTTACAAGCACTTTCACATCCATTTTCTCATTTGATCCTCACAACAGTCCCGTGCAAGAACAGAGTGATCCTAGATTGTCAGAGCTGGAAATTACCTTAGAACTTAAAATTTCAGAAGTAAGAGACATCTGAGAACTTAGAACGTCAGAGCAGAGAGGGACCTCGGAACACAAAATGTCAGGGATAGAAGGGACCTCAGAACATGGGATATTAGAGGTAGGAGGAACCTTTGAAACTAAAGCATAGAATGTCAGAGACTGAAGGGGCCTTAGATACCATTGGGTCCAACCCCTTCATTTTATATGTGAAGAAACTGAGATCTGGAGAGGGAAATGATTCCCTTACAGTTACACAGGCATCTTGGGGAAGCCACGACTCAAGCCCAGATCTGTATACTCAGATTAAACAGCCTGTCTAAGACATATAGCTTGTCATCCTGGTAGCTAGTCAGGCTGCTCACTTTTACAAGTGAACTAATGATAATAATGCCCAGAGATGCCTACCAATAAGAGGGAGCCACTGATGGAGCCCACAACAATCCGCCCTTGCTTCTGGAGGGAGGTCCCACTAGTCAAGGTTTCTTCCTTCAGACTGGAGACATAATGCTTTGACCAGGATTTTCCAGTGCGAGCATCCCAGGTACTCACAAGCCCTTCTTTAGACACTGTCACAACCCCTGAGCTGGAAGGAAATACTGTGGCCCAAAGCCAAGGATCCTGTACATCACCCACAATGTGGAAAATGGCTTTTGCAGTTTCCAGGTTCCATGCATTAACCTAAAGGAATGATGAGTAGAAATCAATCAGCTTGTGTCCTGAACTAGTGTTCTCCTCTCGTCAAATGCAAGTGTTTACCTTTTTCCACTGGTAGGGGGTGCTGCATCTTCCCTAGTAAACTATCTTTCTGTGTAGGGGATGGGAGGGATATCAGAATTATATTCTCAGATCCAAATCCATCCAGATTAATCTGAGCTAAGGCTCAACAGAGCCCAATGCTACCCCTAGTAATCTGACCAATTTGAGCTAGCCCCTTAGACTCCCTCTTCACATACGGATACCCAGAAACCAAGGACACCTGACCCCTTCCCATGTAGGAATCCTTTTCTATAGAGAACATACAAGGTGAGACTGATATGCATTTGACCAACATGGAGGAAAACATGCTTACATTAGGCACAGTCTTGAGAAGTTGCGGTCATGCAGTGGAAAGAGGCCTAAATTTAGAATTGGAAAACTTGGGTTCAAATCCCAGCCTTGCTACATACTACTTATATAACCTTGGGTAAGTCACTTATGGGCACTATGGGCAGCCAGGTGGCACAGTAGATAGGGTGCCAGGCCTGAAGTGAGGAAGACTCATCTTCCTCCTGAGTTCAAATCTGGCCTCAGATACTTACTCGCTGTGTGAATCTGGATGAGTCACTTAAGCCTGTTTGCCCTCCATTTCCCTATCTGTAAAATGAACTAGAGAAGGTAATGGCAAACCATTCCATTATCTTTCCCAAGAAAACCCCCAACAGGGGATGCAAAGAGTTGGACTTGACTAGAATGACTGAACAACAATGTGAGGAGGTGATAAGGCATTTCTGTTGTCTTTGGAGGACTGCAGGAAGAGGCCGGATGGCCACTGGTAAGGGATGTTGTACAGAAGGTTACTGCTTTGGATAGAGAGGGTGGGCTAGATGCCCCTAGCACCCTTCCAATTAGTCTATTATTCTGTCATGATTTCTAGGCTTCTGACTATCAGGGCTGTCTGATGACCCAAGCACTCCAGAGAGAATTGAAAAGGGATCAGAAGGTGTTGTCAAAGATAAAACCATTGCCTTTGTGACAGTCATCATCATCTTGACCTTTGGTATATACTCTAAGCCTAAGACGTCATGGAAGTTCATGGTACTGGCCAATATACAAGATTTTCCCAGGGCCACACACAAAATAGGGGAATACAATCAATCAGTCAATCGACACGAACTTATTAAGCTCCTATTGTGTACCTGGCACTGTATTAGGTGCTGAGGATACAAAGAAGAAAATGAAAGTCCCCCTCCAGAAGCTTCCATTCCATCAATGTAGACAACATACACATATATACACAAAACATATGCAAAATAAAGTCATTTCTAGAAGGAGACACTAGCATCTGGGAGCATCAGGAGATGATTCGTGTACAAGGTGACATTTGATTGAGGACTCTGTATTTGATCCGAGAGGTAATAGGGAGCCATTGGAGTTTATTGAGTAGAAGTCAGACCTATGCCTCAGGAAAATCACTTTGGCAGCTTTATGTAGGATGGATTAGAAAAGGGGCAGGAAGATCAATTAGGAGGCTATTATTACAGTCAGTGCACAAGGTGATGTGCAAGCCTGAGGTAGCTGCATGAAATGGTGTCTAGGCAAAATCAACAAGATTTGCCAATTAATTGAATATGTGGGGTAAGGGAAAGTGAGATGGCAAGGATTACTCTGATGTGAATTTGAATGACTGGCAGGCTGGATAATCCTGTTTGGAGAAGAAAAGAATGGATTCTGTTGAAATCTCATATTCATACTGAGTATGAGATGCCTTTGGGATATTCAATTTAAAATTTCTAATAGTTGATGATGGGACTGAAACTCAGGAGAGAGACTAAAGCTGGAAATACAAATCTGGGAGTCATGCAGCTAATGGTGCAGCGAAGAGAGTGCTGAGCCTGCAGTCAGGAACCTAGCTGCCCCTCCTCAACTGTAAAATTGTGCTAATAATAACACTTACCTCCCAGAGTTGTCAAAAAGATTGAATGAGGTGAAGTGCTTAGCACAGTGCCTGGCACAAAGTAAGCACTATATAAATGTTAGATATCAATGTTAGTTATCAGCTGCATAGAGAAATGATCATTAAATCCATGGGATCTAATGAGGCCACTAAGAGAGTGTGTAGGTGGAGGAGAGAAGAAGGCCTGGGGCATACCCACAGTTAGGAGGCATGACGTGGATGAAGATCCCGCAAAGGAGGCTATAGTCAGACAAGCAGATGGAGAATCAAGAGCAAGTCATATCATGAAAACCTGCAGAGGAGACAGTGTCTAGGAGGCAAAAGGATAGTCAAAATTAAGTGCTTCAAAGAGGTAGGGATGGATGAGAACTGAGAAAAGGCCATCAGTTTGTCAATTAAGAGATCATTGGAAGTAGATGCCTACTGTTTGGGGAATGGAAAAACAAATTGTGCTACATGGATATAGTGGAATATGACTGTGCTGTAAGAAATGACAAATATAACAAATAAAAAGAAATAGGAAAAGGCTTAGATAAGCTGAAACCAAGTAAAGCAGAGACAAGAAAACAATGCACCCAATGGCTGTAACAACAGAAATGGAAAAAACAATAACCACAAAACAGTTGAGAGTCAATGTTGTAAAATTACTAAGTATAAGCTTGACTGCAAAATAGAAATATGAGAAAACACTTTTCCCTATTACTGTGCAAAAGTGGGAGGTCCATGGGTATGGAACATTGCATATACTGTCTAAGTTTTTGTTGAATTGATCAGTTGTGCTGTTTTTTTTCCCCCACTTCCTCTTTTTTTTTTCCTGAGGCAATCAGGGTTAAGTGACTTGCCCAGGGTCATAAAGCTAATAAGTGTCAAGTGACTGAGGTCATATTTGAACTCAGGTCCTCCTGACTCCAAGGCCGGAGCTTTATCCACTGCACCACCTCGCTGCCCCACTTCCTCTTTTTCTTTAAAAAATAAGTCTTTGTTGGCATGAGGGATGGCTCTATGGGAAAGGGCAGGAGAAATTTTAGGTTCCATTAAAACAGAAGGTATTAGATTTTTATTTTTAGAAATCATTGTTAACTAGAGAGGGCAGTTTCAGTAAAGTAATAAGATTGAAAGTCAGATTACTGACCCTGGAGAAGTGAATGAGAGAAGTGTGGGCATAGCATGTAGGCAGATTTGACTAGTATTGAGCTGTGAAAGGGAGGGGAGATGCAAGGTGATTGTAGGGATGGTAGAGTTAAGTAAGGATTTTTAAGGATTACGGAGACTTGAATATTTGGCAGGCAGCAACCAACAGGGAACCAAGAGATAGAGACTGAAGACTAGAGAGAGGAAATGATTTGTGGGGTCAGAGGATGGGATAGAATCAGGGGTATATGAAGAGGGAAATGACCTTGGTGAGAAGAGCTATACCTTTAACAGATACCAGAGGAAAAGAGGAAAAGAATGGGGGATGATGTCAAGGAGTTTTATCTAGGAGATTTCTGTTTTCTCAACAAAATATGACACAGGGTCCTCTCCTGAGGTTGTATAGGAGATTTGAGAAGGTTCAGGACAGCCATGCAAAGTAGAATGAAGACTTAATTTTGAGAGGAGAAACAAACCCACAAGGAAAATCACTTGGGAATGCCAGCCCCCTCCCCCCAGAGCAGCAGTAGTCTCCTACTGAAAAATTTCACCTGTCTCTCCTATCTTCCCTCCTCCCCACAAGGCCCAACAGCTTTGCCATTGCATTATATTGGGCCAGCATAATAGCAACTGAACATCTCTGGAGCTCCAAGCTTTTATCCAGGCAGCCTTAGAGTGAGAGAGGCTGGTGCCCCTCATTAGGAATTTTGTAACTGATGCTACCCCACAGATCCCCTGCCCCGCCTTCTGAGTTGTGGTAACAGTTCCCGTGATTTGATGATTCACATCCTCCATACCTTTGAACCAGACACTGAATACACAACTTCATTCTTTTCATCCACATGAAGGCAACAGAAGTGTGGCTCTCTGGGATCAGTAGAGACTCCATCCCAAATGACATACTTCTCCTCGCCAGAAACTAAATTCCATGCACGAAGCGTGCGGTCCTTGGAAGCAGAAATGGCATAATTGCCTTGCCCAAATGTTTTCACACACCTCACCTCTCCTATAACACAGGAAGGAAAGAGCATTTACCACACTTGAGATTCATTAAAATTTCAACACCCAGAAATGCCAATGGCTTTGAAGCAAATGGCCACAATAATAACATTTACAGAGCACTTGAAGGTTTGCAAAGCCCTTTGTTCAGTGGTTATCAGTCATGTCCAAACCTTTGGGACCCCCTTTGGGGTTTCCTTGGCAAAGATGCTGGACGGGTTTGCCGTTTCCTTCTCCAGCTCATTTTACAGCTGAGGAAACTGAGGCAAACAGGGTGAAGTGACTTACCCAGGGTCACACAGCTAGTCACCACCTAGCTGCCCCCACTATAAGTACTGGTTTTGTGTTAAAGATGAAGAAATAGGTACAAATTGGTTAAGGGATTTGCCTAGGGAAACATTTAAGTAAGTGTCAGAGGATTATTTTGAATCCAGGCTCTTCCTAACACCTTCTCTGGCACTCCATTCACTTGCCACCCTCACTCCCTAGCAAGCTCATTTTCACCAAAAATCTACACTTTCAAGGCCTATATATTGTAAATTACAACATCATTTTTTAAAAGATCAGTTTAATCATTAACATATGTTTTTGTCTTTATTTTACATTTTTATAAAACTATTTTCTGTAAGAACTTATGAGGCAATTGAATATATCTAAGCCGTAGAATCTCAGAGCCAGAAGGGACCTAAGAGGCTATCATCAAACCCAGTCTATACCTGAACAATAAATGGTCTAATCATCTGCATCCCTCCACAGACCCCTCCCCAGCCATTGATATTCTGCTTAGGCTCATTCCTGAATGACTAGCATACTTCCATCCCCTCCTACTCTCTCAATCCTAGTGATTCTGATGCCATCCCACAGCTTCCAGCTGCTATTGTACAAACCAATTCCTCATTCCCTATGCCCTGTCCCTTACTCCCATTTCCCTGAACCCTACCCCCCACAATGTTCATGATGAGGGAGTTTGAGAGGTTGTTAGGTGGCTCAGTGGATAGAACGCTGGGCCTGGAGTCAACAAGACCTGAATTCAAATCTGGCCTCAGACACTTCCTAGCTGGGTGACCCTGGGCATGTCACATAACCCTGTTTGCCTCAGTTTCCTCACCTGTAAAATGAGCTGTCAAAGGAAGTGGCAAACCACTTCAGTATCTCTGCCAAAAAACCTAAACGCGGTCACAAAGAGTTGTACACAACTGAAAACCACTGAACAACAACAACCCTATTTCTTCTTGCATATTCTCCTTCTCCCACCATCCCTCAGTAACTTCCCCTTTGAGGTTCATTCATCACCCAGTGAAGATTTTGGTAGCTATCATCTACCAACCCCCAGGACACTCCTCCCTTCCTATCTTCCCAATCCTCTTATACTTTACTCTCCCCCGTGTAGTCTATGATCCAGCCTTCTTGCTGTTTCTCACACGTGACACTCTGTCTCTTGATTCCATATCGTTTCACAGGCTGCCCACTATTTCCAGAATGCTCTTCCTCCTAACCTCTGCCTCTTAGCAACCTTGGCCTCCTTCAAGACAGCTCAAACAGCACCTTCTACAAGAGACCTTTCCCAGTCTCCTCAACATCACCACCTCCCACTACTAGCATGAGACTAGCGTCCAAAATCCCTCTTTCGGAAAGAACCCCATTTAATACTAATGCCTTCCCTCTGAGATCATCTTCCAATTTATCCTATATAGGGGTAGCTAGGTGATACAGTGGGTAGAGCACCAGCCCTGGAGTTGGGAGGACCTGAGTTCAAATCTGACCTCAGACACTTGATGCTTACTAGCTGTGTGACCCTGAGCAAGTCACTTAAGCCCGATTGTCTGTCTCTCACACACACACACACACACAAAGATCACCAAGGCCAATTTATCCTATATGTGTGTGTGTATATAGTTGCTTGCATATTGTCTCCACCATTAGAATATGAGTTCTTTAAGGGTAGAAAATGTGGTTTTGCCTTTCTTTATGTCCCCAGCACTTAAGTCAGTACTTAATATGCTTGCTGACTGACTGACTGACCATTCAGGCTTTGCTTCAATCACACCTCAAGAGCTTCACACCCTACCACCCCAACCAGCCCATTCCATTTTTGGATATTTCTCATTATGAAGTTTTTCATTACCTCAAATCTAAGTCTACCTCTCTGCAACTTCTCCCCTCCCCCCATTATTCCAGGTTCTGCCCTCTGAGGCCAAGTGGACCTTGCCTCTTCCACCTGACAGTCCTTTAAATAAACGCATCAGTATAACTGTTATATATCCCTCCTAGAGATTGTCTTCTCTAGCTCTGAGTCCCCTAATTCCTTCACCCAATCCTCCAATACCATCATTTCCATGCCTTCCCTATTGCCTCTCATTAAATGATTCTGTGAAGGCCCAGGTCCTCAGAAAGTTGGCTGTAGTCATCAGAAGAAATCAATGAAAAAGACACCCTCTCATAGTCTCACCCGTGTGACCCCTTAGGATGTGCACCACCTGACTCTCCCGCTCCCGCATGCCCCACACAACCAGGACACCATTCTGGGATCCAACCAGCAAGAGTTTGTTGCTGGAGCTCCACTCTGCTGCCGTGATGCCTGCAGGAAACACAGAGGTCAGACAGAAAGGAAGAGAAATGGAGAGAGAAGACTGAGACCTCACTTGATGCTGGGAAAGAATGGCTGTGGATTACGTGCTGGTAGCACGCGAATTAGCAGGAGACAATTTTCAAGCTTTTTAAACTGCATGCACATGAGGGGAATATGAGGATTGTTTACCAATGGACTGTGAGTACTTTCAACCATAAAACCCTCTACAACCAAGGTGGATTTGTGTTTCAAAGAAAATTATTGTTGGAACTAGTTCAAATTCCACCTCTTACAAAGAAGCCTTCTCGGATTTTTCTCATCCCGTCGTCCTCTCTTTGATCCCCCTTCCCTGCTGACTTTGCCTGTGCTTCTGATGTGGGTCTTATTTCATTAGGCTTTGTGGGCTTTATTTATGTACGTGTCTTATCTTTCCTATTGGACTGCAAAGTCCATGATGATGGGGGGTGGGGTGGGAGGCTGTTCTGTATTCACCAGTGGATTCACCATAGACCTTGCACATAGAATCAAAGTGGTGGAATAGTTATACCTACAGCAACAACAAATCCCACAACATAGAATGTCAAATCTGGAAAGAGCCTTAAAACATAGGACAGGACTCCTAGAACATATAGCATAGATCAGGGGTGGGGAACCTGCGACCTCAAAGCCACAATGTGGCCCTCTTGGTCCTCAAGTGCGGCACTTTAACTTCATCCAAACTTCACAGAACAAATCCCCTTAATAAAGGGGATTTGTTCTGTAAAACTTGGATTCAGTCCAAAAGTCTGCATCCGAGGACCTAGAAGGCCACATGTGGTCTCAAGGCTGCACTCCCGGCATAGAATATCAAAGTGAAAACAGATCTTATTTGTACAAACATACTTATAGCAGCTCTTTTTGTGGTGGCAAAGAATTGGAAAGGGGATGCCCATCAACTGGGGAGTGGCTGAACAGGTTGTGGTGTATGGATGTGGTGGAATCCTGCTGTGCTGTGGGAGGTGATGGGGCAGTGGAGTTGAAGGGAGCCTGCGGGGACTTGTGTGGACTGGCGCTGGGTGGGGTGGACAGAGCCAGGAGGACGTTGTGCACAGTGGCGGCCACGTTGTGTGATGACTCACTTGGATGGACTTGGCTCTTCTTGGCAGTGCGGGGATCTAGGACATGTGCTGGGGGGTCTGATGTTGGGGGGTGCTGTCCACGTCCAGGGAGAGAACTGTGGAGTTTGGATACAGATGGAGGCATACTGTTGGATCTTTTTTTTTTTCTTGTTTTGTTTTGTTTCTCCTTTCTTGTGGTTCCTCCTGTTGGTTCTGATTCTTCTTTACAGCACAGCTAGTGTGAGGATGTGTTTGGTGGGAGTGTATGTGTGGAGCCTATGTCAAATTTCGAGCTGTCTTGGAGAGGAGGGGCAGGGAGGGAGGGAGAGAGAATTTGGAGCTTGAGGACTTGTGGAGGTGATTGTTGAGAACTAGAGGTGAATTAATTAAAAAAAAAGAATTGGAAATTGAGGTAATGTCCATCAATTGGGGAATGGCTGAATAAGTTGTGGCATATGATTGTGATGAAATACTATTGTGCTATAAGAAATAATGAGCAGGGGGCAGCTAGGTGGTGCAGTGGATAGAGCACCAACCCTGAAGTCAGGAAGACCTGAGATCAAATCCAGCCTCAGACCAAACACTTGACACTTACTAGCTGTGTGACCCTGGGCAAGTCACTTAACCCCAATTGCTAAAAGTAAAAAAGAAAAAAAAAAGAAATAATGAGCAGGATGATTTTAAAAAAACCTAGAAAGACTTACATTAACTGATGCAAAGTGAAATGAGCAGAACCAACAGACATCGTGCATAGTAACAGCAATATTGTACAGTGATCAACTGTGAATGACTTAGCTATTCTCAGCAATACAGTGACCCAAGACAGTTCCAAAGGACTCATGATGAAAAATACTGTCTACCTCCAGAGAAAGAACTGATGGAGTATGAGTGCAAATTGAAACATACTATTTTTCACTTTATTTTTTTCATGGTTTTTTTTTGTTTGTGTCTTCTTTCACAACATGACTAATATGGAAATATATTTTGCATGATTGTACATGTATAACCTATATCAAGTTGCTTGCTGTCTTGAGGTGGGGGGAGGGAGAGAATTTAGAACTCGAAAATTTTTTTAAATCAATGTTAAAAATTATTTTACATGTAATTGGGAAAAATAAAATATTATTAAAGTTAAGAAGGAGAGATATTAGAACATAGAATATTAGAGCAAAAAGAGACCTTAGGGCTCAGATTCTTAAAATCTAGCCAATGGCTGAGATTCTTAAAGTTTAGCCAAGGCTCATTCACAAATGTTCAGATTCCTTAAGAGTCTGGCCAATATGGCAGATCTCTAATAAACCTTGTCTTTGTCTGAAAGAAGGCTTGGGTCAAATTCATTCAGGCAGGACCATCTGTCATGATTTTGAGGTCCCAGCATCCCTAAACCTCTAAACCTCAACATTTTGATGGCACGTATAAGGAAGTTGCCTAACCCCAAGCTCTTGTCTAGCCAAGACTGGAAGGTATGTAAGCCTCCCCTGTTTCTTGCCCTGCAATTGGGGTCGCTCTCCAAGCACCTAGGAAGGCTTGGAGATGCTTTTTGGACAGACAGTTATGAGGTTGTCTCACACTTGGCCTGACCAACTCTCAGACTCTCAGTCCACTAGTTTGGTTCGAGGCCAGGGACCTGAGTACACCTTCCACAGCATAGAGGAAAATGATGGATGCCCTATCTGGAAGCATATGGCCAATTCTGTCAATTCTTTCAGTGCTAGGGAATTGGGAAAACTGCAGGTGCTTTTTGGTTCCCTGAGGCTTACTTACTCCCTTCCCTCTACACCCCTGAATCCTCCTTCATGGAGGTTACAGGGAAAAGTTAGAACAGCTAAAAAACATCTTAGCAAATTCTGGAGGTTTTGTGATCAATCATTAAGAAGTTCTGAAATACCTCCTTACAACCCTGTTCACTCCCTTCTCCCATTCCCTTCCCTTAAGTCAAGAGGGTATTTTTGTTAACCCCTCTCATAGAAGAAGAGAGTTTCACCCTTCCCCCCTCACCTTTGAATTCACCCTCCCCCACCTGGCAAAAGGAAGGAGAGGGGAGGGGCAACAGCTACAGCTTGGGCCCTGGGGCAACCTTTGCCTGGAAGTATCACCCAAGTTCAGCACATCCTGCTCACTCCCCCACCACCACCTTAACCCCCAGCAGCCATGGGGAGAGAGGGAAGGGGGGATGAGTCAAGGTAAAAAAGCTAGTCAGCCTCCAAACTTGGATTTGTGTCTTCCCAAGTACAGACCATTCACCTACAGTTGGTAGCAAACAGCAGGTACCAGCCAATGTCCCCACCATCATCCCCTGGATGCAGCCTGTGCTCTGTTCCAGTCAACTTCCTCTCTGGGACCCCCTCAAGGCAGGGACAGCTTCTGGCCCCTTGCCAGCAGGAAGCAGTTTCAGAAGCTGAGACCCTCGCCTCTTACCCTAAAAGAATTTGAGTCCCATTTGTTTGAGGGGGGAATGTTGAGGATGGGATCTGAACCCCTAAAAGGAAAAGACCATGTCTTTGGGATCTGGACCTCAAAAAAGAAAATCCCTGGACTTTTCCCAAATCTCTGGTGTTTGCCTGAGGCTGTAATCCATTTAGTTGGCCCCCAATCTCCCAATTCTGTTCTGTTACTTCCTGATTGCCTCTGGTCACTTCCCACCCTAAATCCTATCTGGATTCCATTCTCTGTTGGCCATGTGGTCCAGGTCCCTGGCATTCTGTTCACCCCAGTTTACTGGCCACTCCTATCCAGATCCTCCTTAGACTTCTCCTTCAGTCACCCCAGACTACTTGGCCACTCCTGGATCGCTCCCACAGTCTTTCTGTATATAAGGTCCATCTTGTCTCCATTAAAGTGTTCTGATTCTTAAAATCTAGCCAATGGCTGAGGTTCTTAAAGTCCAGCCAAGGCTCAGATTCTTATAATCTAGCCAGTAGCTCACAAATGTTCAGATTCCTTCAGAGTCTGGCCAATATGGCAGATCTTTAATAAACCTTGTCTTTGGCTGAAAAAAGAGAGAGAGAAAAAGACTTTAGGACATAGAGTATCAGAGCTGGAAGGATCCCTAGAACATAGAATATAGAATGTCAGATGTGGGAGGACCCTTCGGACATAGTTTCAGAACTAAGAAGGACCTTAGAAGTTAGAATGTCGGGGCAGCTAGGTGGTGCAGCGTATAGAGCACCAGCCCTGGAGTCAGGAGGACCAACAATGTCAGAGCAGAAAAGGAACCTAGAACATAGGATATTAGAGCTGGAAAGGGCCATAGAGCACAATAATAACAATAACAATCACCATTTAAATAGTATGTGAAAGGTTTGAAAAATGCTTTACTTCTGTTATCTGATTTGATTCTTACAACAACTCTGTGAGGTAGGTGCTATTGTTTTCTCTAGCTTACAGATGAGGAAACTAAGGCTAAGAGAGGTCAAGTGACTTACCTAGGGTCAGACAGCTAGTCTGAGGCAAGATTCAAACTCATGTCTTCCTGAATTCAGGCCCCATGCTCTGCCCACTATACAACTACACAGAATGTCAGAACCAGAAAGGATCTTGGAACATAAAATATAAGAGCTGGTAGGGTGCCTAAAAATTATCTAGTCGAACATGTTATCTTTAGGAGCACTTTAAAAGTCATTTCATCCAGTACCTTTATTTAACAAGTAAGGAAACTGAGGTAGAGGTATGATGAATTGCCTAAGGTCACATAGTTAATAAGTAGTAGACCTAAAATTAAATAGCTATTTCCTGATTCCCATCACACTGCTCTTTATGCTGAGCTGCACAGCTGTTATTAGGGTTTAGGATAAGCAACATTAAATGTGTATTCAAATCCATTTCATAAGACATTAAGTTGAAGGGGGGATAGACCCTAGGACATGGAGAATGAACAAGAGCATCCTGGGGCCAGACCAGAGAGAAGCTCATTGAGGTGCTACCAAGTGCGAACAATGGAGTGGGGGCAGGGTGAGAAGGTGCCATTTGTTAGCTTCCTTATTCTTGCTAACTAGGAGCTAAATTCAGTTGTCATTAAACTGCTGAAGGAGTATTAGGATTTTCAGCACCCCCTGGGGCATTACCTGGGGCAAAGCCTAAGCCATCCCACCCTAGTTACAGCTTGTCAAATTGTCCGGTAGTGTTTGTTCAATTCAGCAAACATATATTAAGCACCTGCTATGTACAAGGCCAGTGCTCATCACTGTAATAGATAAAAATTATGTACACTGGCTTCCACTGTGAAGCCAGATTTCTTTGTCTGATTAAGGACTGTCATGATTCAACTGCCATTTCTGTAAGTTATTATGGTCAGTTGTTAGGGTAATTAATTAGATAGATAGATAAACAGATCTGTAGCTCTTTCCTTTCAAAAATAAGCTAAAAGTACCAGCGCCTCTAACTATCCAAGCTTTTCGTTCCCCTTGGCTACAGGCTCATTACTAGTATTTATCCTTTATAAATAGTGGCCTCCAGAGATGCTGGTACATCTGAGTCAGCATGAGGCAGCACAGGACAACCCTTGAGGGGGCCCAAGGGACTTCACTCATGGAAGATGGGAAATCCCGGAGAGGGTCACACAAAACTAGATTCTCCCTATGACGGGAAAGCTAAAGGAAACAACTGCCGGGAAACGAAGAAGTCATTTTTAAAAGCAGAGAAAATTGGTTTCCCAGAGCAGCTTTGGGACCTAATGGAACATGGAGCATCCTGTCATACCCAGGCTGCCCCCTTGTACCTGGAATGCACTCCCTCCCATCCTCCGACTCTTGGAGTCCCCAGTTTCTTTCCAGATTCAGCTCAAGAGCCCCTTCTGCAGGAAGCCTTTTCTGACTTCTACAGTACCCTTTCTCCAAAATGTTTTTGTTGTTGTTGTTCAGTCGTGTCTGATTCCTCATGAGCTCATTTGGGGTTTTCTTGGCAAAGATACTGGAGTGGTTTGCCATTTCCTTCTCCAGGTTATTTTACAGATGAGGAAACTGAGTCGAACAGGGTGAAGTGACTTGCCCAAGGTCACACAGCTAGTAATGAATGTCTGAGGTCAGATTTAAACTCAGATCCTCTGGACCCCAGACTAGGCATTCTATCCACTTAGCCACTTTATCTTATATTAATTTTGTATATTCTTGTAAATGTACATGTCTCCCTGGTAGAATATAAACTCCTCAAGATCAAAGACTGCATTGTTTTTGTCTTTGTATCTCCAACACCTAGCATAGTACCTGGTACACAGGATCCATTTAACAAATGTTTGTTGATTGACTGATTAATTGATTAATGCTAATAACAGATAGGCAATTCTCATCCATATTCATGAATACTAGAACTGAAAAAAGACCATAGAAAATAGAATGATAGAGTTGCAAATTACCATAGCACACAGAATATTAGAGCTAGAAAGTGCCTTACAATATAGAATATCAGAACTAGAAATTTCCTCAAAACATAGAACGTCAAAGCAGGAAGGAACCTTAGAACATGGAAGGTTAAAACTAGAAAAGGTCTTAAAGTATAAAACATTGGAAGTCAGAGCTGGCAGGGACCTTAGACATGTTCTCAGCTAAAGTGATTCAGAGCCCCTCACATCCCCACTTCCCCTGCCTGCCAGTGAGTAATGCTAGATTTGGGGGACCCCACCCTTCCTGCCACCTTTGACAAGGATGAATTTTGAAAGGGCTCTGGAGATTCTTTGAGTGGGAAAAAGATGAGCAAACTGCATATTTAAGGACTTGGTGATTGTGTATAGAAGTGCAAGACAGTAATGGTGTAAGATCGAGAGGCTTAGACAAGGAAACTCTGGGTCCTATACAATTCCATGATTGTGTGACCTTGCATAAGATACTCTTCCAGCTTTCCGAGCTCCTGTATTTTACAAATGGAGAAACAGAGGTCCAGAAGAGAGAACTGGCCTGTCCCAAAGCAGTTACACAGTGCCAGAGTCAGGACTCAAAAGTAGGCCCTAGGATTCCTTTGTTCTTTTCCCTCCACTCCTCTGTGGATTTGGAGGACACTGGCAAAACCTACCTTTGTGATAGCCTGTGAGCATCTCCTGAAGGGGCCCTCCTGGAGGTAGAAGGAACCCACAGACGGGGATGAGAACAGGATGTGGATATGCATTAAACCACCTCAGGCATTGGTGGCACAGCTGTCCAATGAGTGATGGGTAGAGAGAGGAGAAGGAATAAAGCCGGGCCAGGATCTCCGTGTAGAAAATGCTCTTGTCTAAAAGAAAGAATCACACTTGGGTAGGATTTAGGACAAATAGCCAAGCTCAGGCCCCATGAAAGGATACCCTAAGAAGGGTTTCCTCCTAAAGAAAGTCTTCTAGTTTTCCTATAGGTTGTTAATTATTTTTCACATTCAGTTGTTTCAATCATGTCCAACCCTTCATAACCCTATTTGGGGTTTTCTTGGCAAAGATACTAAAGCAGTTTGCCTTCTCCTTCTCCAGCTCATTTTACAGATGAGGAAACTGAGGCAAACAGGGTTAAGTGACTTGTTCAGGATCACACTTACATCTGGGGTCAAATTTGAACTCAGGAAGATGTGTTCTTTTTTTTTTTTTTTGGTTAGGCAATGGGGTTAAGTGACTTTCCCAGGGTCACACAGCTAGTAAGTGTTATGTGTCCAAGGCCGGATTTGAACTCAGGTTCTCCTGAATCCAGGGCCGGTGCTTTATCCACTGTGCCACCTAGCTGCCCCTAGATGAGTCTTCTTGACTTCAGGTCTGACACTCCATCCATTGCACCACCTATTGCCCCATTATTTTATATAAACATAATTGCCTAACGTTGAAATATATAAGTACAGAGGACTATAATATTAACTCACATTCCTATAGATCTTTAAAGTCTATAAAACATTTTACAAGAACACAAATAAGTATTATTATCCCCATTTTAGAGAAGAAAACTGAGGTCCAGACGTTTAATGACTTGCCCTGGGCCACACAACCAGTAAGTGTCAGAGCAAAGACTTGGACTGAAATGCTTGTGACCTTGAGCCCAACATGCTTTCCATTATACTCTAGCGGAAGAGTTGTAGGGGTCCAGGGGCAAGTAATAGTTATCACTAGTTCCTCCTAAGCAGGGAGAAAAAAACTTTGAAGTTGGAAGGGGACTGGTGTAATAGAGCACTAGGCCTAGAGTCAGGAAGATTCATCTACCTGAGTTCAAATCTGGCCTCAGACACTTACTGGATTTGTGACCCTAGGCAAGTCATTTAACCCTGTTTGACTCAGTTTCCTCATCTGTAAAATGAGCTGGAGAAGGGAATAACAAACCACTCCAGTGTCTTTTCCAAGAAAACCCCAAATGGGGTCATGAAGAGTCGGACACAAATGAAGCAATTTAACAACAACAAAAATATATTCAGTTGATATAGTTTCTCAGGCAGAGGCATCATAATGTAAGTAGATAGAAAGCTGGCCTTGAAAACCTAAGTTCAAGCCCGGCCTTGGACACACACTGACTGTGTCGCCCTGAGCAAGGCTAGGTAACTCTCTGAGAATATAGGTTTCGGGGAAGGTCTCCACCTGCAGTTGGAGAAGGTGTTTCTTCACTTGGGAATTCCCTCTACTAATAAAATCACAGGTCCAGTTCCTTTTCCCTATTGGAATTTTTCAGGCATAGAAGATGCCACATGTACAGAAAGGGCTGGACTTGAACTCAGGAAGATTTGAATTCAAATTTTGCCCTTGGCACTTTACTAGCTGTGTGACCATGGGCAAATTACTTAACCTCTCTTAAAAAACACTCTTAAGGCTTATCTACTAAATTTGAGATTGGGGTTGCAATGCTAGAAAAGAGGTTTTCCATACTTGAGAAATTTCAAGCCCCTAATACACTACTGTAACTTTACAGAAGCATATCTGCCACTCCCCTCCCCAAAGTCCTCTCTTGACAAGGCCTTGCCCAGAGGCGCACAAGATCTAATAAACTGGAAAGCTTGAAGTTCAGATCCCGTGATGAATGGACTGTGGATCTGTTGCCTGTGAGACAGCTTAACTTAGCAAGGTTGCTTAACTCGGAGAGGTTCAGTGCTCCAGGGCTGGTCATCAGGTGATGAATGTGCTGAGGCCTCAGTGGAAGGAGTGCCCACATGGATGAAGCTGCAGCCCTTTGATATCTTTGGAGTGTCTACCATTTGGTAGCATTGGAGTGTCTGTCACCAAGTTACATGTCATGCTGGCAATCCATTTCCTCTCTCTAGACCTTAGTTTCCCTAGCTGTAAAATAAGGCTCCGGCCCAGCTCTTTCTCCTTTGCAAAGAATGGATTCATGTGGGTGAACATAATTGCACATCACTGCCCTCTAGTGGTAAATTATGCCCTTGTTTAACCAGGGTTATAGAATCCCCTTGCCATTCCTCAGAGATTATGGTCCTGGAAAAGAGACGGAATTTTGCTCTCCTCAGGGTTGCAGACTTGACTGTTAGCACCCGTATATCTAGTCAGGGGTGGGGAAGCTGCGGCCTTGAGGCCACATGTGGCCCTCTAGCTCCTCAAGTGCGGCCTTTGACTGAATCTAAACTTTACACAACAGATCCCCTTAATAAAAGGATTGTTCTATAAAACTTGGACTCAGTCAAAAAGCTGCACCCAAGAACCTAGAAGGTCACATGTGGCCTCGAGGCTGCAGGTTCCCCACCCCTGAGTATGCTTATACCTTTAATTAATATATCACATAGAATCTTAGACTTTAAAAGTCCATAAGAGATTATTTAGCTCAATGTCTTCATTTTGCAGATGAGAAAAGGGACTAGCCCAAGGGATTTGCCCCAGGCACCCAGGAGCAGAGCCAGGATTAAATTCCAGGCCTCCTAGTTCCCATCTTTCCACTACACCATAATATCTTTTGCTTTCTTGCTAATAACAAATTGAGAAGTGCCAGGATTCCAGGAGCTGATCTAAGAAGAAAATGCACTGATTTTGTCATGTCAAAAGATATGGGATATTGAAGAGCTAATATTTTGCCATTGTTATCCAAATCACTGATTGAAAACTCATATTAGAAGCTCAACCTAGAGGAGATTTCTACATCTAGTAGTCTAATCCTAATGTCACTTACCCATGCCCACTGCACGATCTATGGTAGGTCTTGAGAGCTGGATGGCATCACGGATGAGGCTGACTTCAGGACAGTCAATGTGTTCAGCACAAAGGGCAAAGTCCTCCAGCATGCTTGTGATTCCACTGGAAAGAACTCTACATGAAATCCAGTCCATGTTCCCTGCAAAGAAGAGTGACAACTTCCAGCTTATGTAGGGGCTAGAAGGCTGAGATGTACCTTCTCCATCCCTTCTGGAACCCTTCCCCCCTCCATCCCCTAACAAAGCCTTAAAGACATTTGACAAGTGGCAAACATAAGCACAAGTGCTCCCAAGAAGTCATAACCCTCCCTCCCTACAAGGGCATTCAGAAGCACATATAGCTAGATGCCAGTGAACTGGTCTGGCTATTTATGTTTACTATAGTGTATGCAAGGCAAGTTGTTTTTGAGACAATATTGTTGGCCTCCACGAGCAAAATACTCATAAGACAATGTTAGCTGGGATATTCCACTACCTCAGTGCTGGGCTATTACCCTTTATTAGCTGTTTGTTTTAGTCAATGTGTCTCATTAGGAAGTGACCCAATGGAACCTGGCCAGGTACAGGGATGACTGAGTGGGGAATATGTTGGTCTAGCTGTGAGCACTGAGGAAATCAGAAAAGAGTCCTGCACAGGTCAAAAAAGGCATGGTGGCCACCACTGATAAGGCCTGGGTAAGGGCAACATTTCTGAGAATGTAGTTCTGAGTCACGCTTCTTTTTTTGACTCCGAGAAGTTTTGTGATGTACCCTCACATCAGATGCCAAAGGGCCAAGCCTTCAGGGGCCTGCATGGATTCTTGTGTCTTGTAAGATCTGGCTAAACCTTAGAGCTTCCTGGGCACCGAAAGAGGTGAAACTAATTAGACACCCAGATTCTGGTTCTGGGTCAGCTACGAACTTTTCCTCTCTGGGACTTAGTCTCTTCAACTGTAAAATGAGGGGTAGAGATAGATGATCTCTAAGATCTCTTTTAGATCTTATATTTTATATTTTGTGTCCTAAGGGCCCTCCCAGCTGTGACATCCAGTGTTCTTAGGGCCCTCCCAGCTCTGACATTCCATGTTCTAAGAGCCCTTTCAGCTCTGACGCCCTGTGTTCTAAGGGCCCTCCCAGCTCTGACATCCTGTGTTCTAAGGACCTTCCCAGCTCTGATACTGTGTTCTGTATTTGAAGGTATATTTCTGTTCTTATTATCTGATTCCCATTTCTCCATCTATAATGATTAATTCTTCCAAATAGGGAAGCTAATATCCTTACCCAGCACATCCTTCTTCAACTCTTCAGTACATCCTGAATTAGCCAGGTGACTGGGCAATTCACTCAATTTCCGAAGATTTGCAACAGTATCTGAAAACCAGAGGGGTTGAGGTGCAACCTGGAAAGAGGGGAGGAAAGGGTTACACAGGAAAACACAACCCTGCAAATCTCATTCAAAGGAGCATTACTGGGGAATCTCACCTTCCTGTCAAAGTTCAGTGGTTTTCCCAGGAGGGGCAGAGATATAGGTTTCTTTATACCCTGACTCCAGGCTCCAGTGAAGAATTCAGATAAGAGATGATGCCTCTTAGTTTTCTCTTGTCCTGATAAATAGCGTTCCTTGACCACTTCAGTCAGTTGTCTTAGAAAAAGAGGGACCAGTGGTGAAATAATATTAATAGCTGACCTTTATATAGGACTTTAAGATTTACAAAGTGTTTATGTACATACATCAAAATTGTATCCTCACAACAATGTGGGAAAATGTGGAAGAAATATTCAGCACTCTAGGCATTACAGGTTGGAAGTCTGTCAGAAACAAATTTATTAAGGAATCCTAAATATCTCTACTTAGGTAGAGAGAAATTTAAAGGGACAGAGATCCATCTTGCTTTTGAAAGTCTCTCTGATCCAAACTATTTTCTTCTTTGAATGTATAGGGCTCAAGAACAAAGATACAATCCTATAATCAAGATTAAACAAGAATACAAAGTTTAGGCAACAGTTTTGACTAAGCAGAACTATACTAATAACTTTTGGGTACTTTGGACAATCGTTTTCCTAAAACTGTTTAATCCCTGTTTAATCACTCCCTCTGAAGATCCATCCTTCAACCTGGTCAAAGGTGAATTCATTGTGTTAATTGAATTAATCAAAAGACCTTCTTGCTCTTAGTCTAATCAATTCTTGGTAGGATTACTTCCTAGTTTTATCAGGGCTTTGCTTTTAGAAACAAGTTAGGCTAGGAAAAAGACATTTTAGAACTGATAGTTAAAGAAAGACTATTGAGGTTTACCATTAGGGTTAGACCAAGTTCAAACTAAAATACAGTATTAATATTATTTTGTAATATGTAATCCAAAGAGGGGAGCAGAGGGGACCCTAGTATGCTTCCACATCTGTGAAGCAGACATTCCAGCAGACATTATTATCCCCATTTTACAGTTGAGGAAACTGAGGCAAACAGAGGTTAAGTGACTTGTCAAGGTCACATAGTCAGTGTCTGAGGTCAAATTTCAATTCACGTCTCCCTGATTTCTATCGTTCTATCTGCTGTGCCACCTGGCACAGCGGATAGCTGCCAAATAAAAGCCCAATTTAGGGAAGGGATGAATTCAAGAGTTATTGTGGAAACTTCTTTCAAAATTCAACTCAGGTGCCACTTCATATATGAAACCTTGCTTGATCCCCTTATTTGTTGTCAACGCTCTCTCCCTCTGGGATTACATCATATTATTTTTCATATATTTTGTATCTATTTATCTGTATACATCTTGTTTTCCCCAAGTAGAATGTAAGCTCCTTCAGAACATGGATTTATTTTGGCTTTGGCTTTGGCTTTGTATATCAGCACCTCGTACATACCTAGATGATTAATAAATGTTTTTAATTGAATTGGATTAATGTAAAATTGCCAGGAATTGGCAACTAGATTAGACATGTTGAGAATGAAGGAGAGAGAGAAGCTTAAGATGCTTTTGAGGTTTCAAACTTGGGAAAGTGGGAGAAAAAGAGGTATTCAGAAGAGTCAGTCATTTCTATCATCAGTGGCCCTGATATGCTATGATAATGTCAGCAGCAGTTGCTGGACTATTACAAACAGAATTCCATCCTCCCCCCCCCTTTCTTTTTAGCAAAGCACTTGAGATTCTGGTCAACCCAGCCATTTGGCTACCATTTTGTCTACCTGTGAGCGAGTCCAAGGAGCATGAAGCCATCTGCAGATCTCTTCACCAAGCAATCCCCTAGGTCCCGACGGAGCCTCACCCACAGGAGAGGAGGAAAACGAAGGGCATCTTTGCTAGGAGGAGTCCACTCCCGATAGACTTCCATCAAAACCTCATCATCCAAGGATAAGACATCCTTCAGCTCTGCTTCTGACAAGCCGTATCTGCCAGAGAGGGGTAGGGTTGGGGAGGTGTGGGGGTGGAATATGTCTGAACATCTCCTGAAGGCCTCTGGGCAAATCACCATTTTTTATGATCTGATTTACCAAAAAGGGCTCAGCCAAACCACAGGGAAGTACATGTCTCCTGTTCTAAGAACACAGTGCTGTGATGTAGGGAAAGTATTATCACCACCATTTTACAGATGAGGTCACTAAGGTCCAGAGAGGTAGGAGTGACTTGTCCAGGGACACACAGCTAGTAAATACTAGAACTCTAGAATACCCAGATCTCTTGACTCTAATGTCTAACACTCTTTCCACTATACCAAGCTGTCTCTCAAGAATGGCCCTTTGAGGAGTTAGGATTACAGCCAAAAATCACCTAACCAACAAAATTGAGTCTAATCCTTCAGAGGAAAAATGGATATTTAATGAAATAGGAACTTTCAAGCATTCCTGATAAAAAGACAGAATATTCCTTAAGTGCCTACTTTGTGCCAGGCACAATGCTAAGCACTAAGACAAAAAAGAAAAAGCTCCTGACTTCTAGGAGCTTATCAATGCTGTATTTTCCCATTTTGTTAAGTTTCCAGATGTATAAATTGAGGTAACTTATACACACAAATGAATACACAAAATAAATATGAGATGAATTTGTAGAGTATATACTACCAGCTTGGGGGAAATCAGAAGAGTCTTCATGTAGGAGGTGGTACTTGAGCTACATTTTGAAAGAAACAAAGAATTCTAGGAGGAAGAGATAGAGAAGGCACATATTCCAAGCATGGAAAACATCCTAGATCCTCAATAGTTGGGTGTATGGTGGGTAAGTATGAAGGCAATGGAGAGATAGGTTCCCTCCTTCTGCAGTTGGTCAGAAGATATAAACCTTAGATCTAGTGTCGATCCCTGCAGCGTTTTATAAGCTGTGATGGTAACGTCCTTGTAGATCTAGAAATCAGATTGGCACAATCCCCTGACCAAGTAATCTCTGCTTAGAAATAGAGAGGGCTTGGGGAAAAAACCAATGGACTCAGAGTCTGGGATGTGAACATAATTAAGGTCCTTGTAGCATTTGACACTGACCACCCCCTCCTTATGTATAATCTTTCTTCTTTGGATTTTCATGACATTGTTCTCTCCTGGTTCTAGGTGATCCTTGTTGTTCTCCTATGCTGGATCACCATCTGTGCCCTGCCCCCATTTGTGCATATATCCCAGGTCTCCAATTAGAGCCCTATTATCCTTGTTCTGTACATATTCGCTCTCCCAAAGATCTTATCATCTCCTATGGATTCAACTATCATTTCACCACAACTCTCATCTCTCCCCTAAACTTCTCCACCATCACCAGCTGCTTTCTGAACCTCTTTACTCAGATGTCCCATATGTATTTCAAATTCAGTATGTCCAAAACTGAGCCAATTCTCTTTCCTCCTAAACCCATCCATCCTCCTAACTTTCCTATTTCTCTCAAGGGAACTACCATTATTCCCGTCACTCACATTCTCAACTCAGGAGTCGTCCTAGACTCTTCTCATTTAGCGCGCATATCTAGTCAGTTTACAAGTCTTAAGGGTTCTATCACCACGACGTTTCTCAGATCTCTTCCCTTTCTCCATTCACGTGGCCGCCACTCTAGTTCAGATCCTTGTCTCCTCTCACCTGGACTCTTACAAGAGCCTTCGAATTGGCCTCCCTGATTCCAGCCTCTGCCTCCATTGTATCCTTCACGTAGCTGCCAAGTTTATATTCCTAAAATATAGATCTGAGCATGGCATGCACCTGCCTGAGAAGCTTCAGGGACTCCCCATTGCCTCTAGAACAGAAGACAGCGTCCTCCTTTTGGCATTTCACACACTTTACAATCTAGCTCTATCCTTCCTTTGCAAGATGATTCATTACACACCACTCCCCCACACACTCTACGTTCCAACCAAACTGGGCTATTTGCTGTTTTCAAACCCAGCGTTCCCTCTGCTACCTCTGTCCATGCCTAGAATGCATGCCCTCCTCATCATCGCCTCTGGAATCCCTCAATACCCACAAGGCTCAGCCAAGTACCGCCTCTTACACAAGTTTCCCAATTCTCTTGTTACTTCCCCTCCCTCCAAAATAATCACCTGTCTGTGGACTCTGAGTACTCACCCCTTAACACAGTGCCTGGCACACAGTAGGCGCTTAATTGTTTGATTGATTGATTGATTGATTGATTGATGACTAATAGTAAGGGAAAGTGTTTGTGCGCGTGTGTTTGGAGAGGTCCGCACCACTTGGGACCCCAGTTCCCTCATCTCCGAGATGAAGGGGCTAACCTGGGTGATCTTTAAAGTCCCTTCCAGCTCTAAATCTTATGATCCTACATTCTTTCTGGCTGGGTAATCCAGTCCTGTGATCCCACTTTCTACAGCAGAGGTTCTTAACCTTTTTTGTCTTGGGTAACTTTGGCAGCCAGTCTGGGGAAGCCTATGGGCCCCTTATAAAAATGATGTTGTTTAATGAATAAAATAAAATACATAGGATTACAGAGGAAACCCATTATATTCAAAATATAGTTATCAAGTTTTTTATAAGTTTTTTTTGGGGGGGTGCAATTGGGGTTAAGTGACTTGCCTAGGGTCACACAGCTAGTAAGTGTCAAGTGTCTGAGGTCAGATTTGAACTCAGGCCCTCCTGACTCCAAGGCCAGAGCTCTACCCACTGCACCACCTAGGTGTCCCTTAAAGTTTTTTTAGAAGTTCACAGACCACATGTTAAGTTATTGTTCAATCATATCCAACTCTTCGTGATCCCAACGACATAGGATACTGTCCATGGGATTTTCTTGGCAAAGATACTGGAGTGGTTCACCGTTTCCTTTTCTAGTGAATTAAGGCAAACAGAGGATGAGTGACTCACCCAAGGTCACACAGCTAGTAGTGTCTGAGGTCAGATTTTAACTTAGGTCGTCCTGACTCCAGGTTCAGCATTCTATCTACTGCACCACCTCTCTGTTCTCAAAATTAATGGCTTTTTAGCCTTGGGTGAATCACCTCACTGAGCCTTTGTTCCCTCACTTATAAAATCCAAATGATAATCATTGCAATAGTTTCACCTCACAGAGAAGATATGAAGAAAGCAGTGTTGACATCAAAACACAGAGACACACGATTGTTATTATCCTAATGATTCTCTGGGAAGCCTAGTAAATGGAGCCCTAGACTTCCAGTCAGGGTCACCTGGGTTCATATCTCCTCTCCAACACTTCCTAGCTGTGTGAGCATGAGCAAGGCCCTGAAGTCTTCCACATCTGTTTCCTTATCTGTAAAATGAAGATTATAAAATGCCACCCTTATAAGGTTGTTATAAAGATCTTAAGTAAAGTATTTTGCAAACCCTGAAGTGCTATAACAAGGTCAGATATCATTATCATAACTTGTGGCTGAAGTCACGTATGTCTATGTTGTGCAAAACGACAATGGTGCTTTGTAAATCTTAAAGCACTATATAAATATTGTTGTTTTTATTATTATCCTCACCACTCCGCATGTTTTTTCCCAGTAGAAACAAAAATTTGTAATTGTTACAACTAGTAAAACTTGATTCCTCAGAAGTTTTGACTCTCCTCCAGATGACCCATATTAAGAGCTAAAATTAGATGCCACTCAGCCTTCACCGTCTGTTGGAGGTGACAGTCAATTTAACCTTTCCCTCACCTCTCTCTGTTCTCCATCCATGCTAGGACATAACTCTTCACTGATCTTTCTGGTCGTATTCGTAGAGAAACAGTGTTGAATGACTTGTCAAAGTTGTTTCACTTTCGTGTCTCTGCTGCCTGCTATCTGCGAGACCTTAGGCAAGTGCCTTCACCTCTTTCGGCTTCATTTTCCTCATCTGTATAATGGGAGAATTGGATTTGCTGGCCTCTAGAGTCCTTTCCAACTGTATACCCATGATATCATGGTTCTGCTCTGAGGTGCCTGACGCTGCACCGTCTGAATAGATCATGTATCGATAACTTGCCTACCTTCGGGGCAGCGCTTGCTTTAGAGAAAATCCTAGAATTTTAGAGCTGGAAGGGCTCACAGTGGTCATACAGTACAACCCACATTCAAAAAGAATCTCTACGACAACTTACTTGACAAGTGGTTACATAGCCCCTGCCTAAAGACCCCCAGTGAGAGGGAGCCCATTACCTCCAAAGGCAGCTACGTCTACTTTTGGATAGAATTATAAGGTGTTTCTTTCCTGACATCAAGCCCAAATGTGCCTCTACAGCTCCTATCCATCGTTCTTGGTCCTGCCTTCTGGGACATTTGGATGGACTAGCTATCAGAAGACCTGGGCTCCAGCCCCACCCATTAGCTCTGTGATCTTAGGGAAATCACTTCACTTCCCTGAAACCATGTTTCTGACCATTCCTGAGGCTCCCATTCACCATGGTGTCCCCAAAGGCTCAGACCTGATCTCTCATCTCCCTTTATACTATTTCACTTGGCAATCTCAGCTGCCATGGATTCAATTATCCTCTCTATGCTGGTGATTCTCAAATCTACTTACACAGCCCTAAATTCACTGATAACCTCCAGTCTTAAATCTCCAACTGCCTACTGGACGTCTCAAATTGGTTGTCCCATAGACATCTCAAACTCAACCTGTCCAAAATTGAACACATTAATCCCTCCTTTCCCATTTTCCTGACTTCCCTATTATTGTTGAAGGTACCACCATCCTCCCAGTCCCCCAGGCTCACAACCTAGGTCTCATCCTCCACTTCTCACTCACACCCCTCTCCCCAAATCCAATGTGTTGCCAAGTTCTTTCGATTCTACCTTTGTAATATCTTTCATAAGTGTATTTTAATTCATTCACCTATTCAAATTTCCCATTTTGCGAACTCTACCCATTGCTCCTTGTTCTTGGCCCTCTGGAAGACTGGAAAGGGGGAGGCAGGACAAGCTATAAAAGTCTTTGAATGCCAAATTAAGGATTTTATTTTTGACCCTGAAGTTGTTAGGGAGCCATTGGAGTTTATTGAGTAGGGAGTGACATGGTTGGACCTGTACTTTAGGAAGATCACTCTGCCAGCTGAGTTGATGGACGGACTAGAAAGGGGAGAGATTCACAAGTCTCCTGCCACAGCAGGAGTTAGGGGGCTCCCCTTCATAAGAGGTTCTCAAGGGAAAATTTAGATGACCATTTGTTGAGGACATTGTCATGGGGATACTTGTTCAGATATGGTTTGGACTTCCAAATTTTCAGTTCTGGAATTCTCCTCCCCGTGACAGCCCTTAAGAAATCCAGAGAGGAATTAGGTTCTCCCTCAGTTGCCTCTTCTCCAGGCTAAAGAGCCATAGTTCCTTCAACTCTTGCTCATGTGACATAGTCATCAGTACTTTCACTACCTTGGTTGTACTCTTCTAGATATGCTCCAGCTTATAAGGTCATAGGACCATTGAACACTAGACTGGAAAGAGACCAACTTGTTAATATACCCCTAAAATATGGTGCCAAAATAAATAAGACCATGTACGTGAAACACTTTGAAACGTAAAACACTATACCCATGAAAATTGTTACAATTATTATTGCATTAAAAGGTAATCTAAGGAGGCAAGAAAACAAAACTGACTTACCGGGCAGTCACAATATACCCAAGTACATGGGACACTAAGACTTGGCCATGTAACTCCTCCAAATGGGCACAAAGCTGTTGCATTGCTTGTTGGGCAGTGGTGGCCAGAGAGACAGGTAATGTATAGGATGCCCATCTCTGGGCTTCGTCAAAGGCTAGTTTCAGCCTCAAGGGGTGTCCACATTCTGGAAGGCTAGCCCAGAGTAGGTCCTGCTGAGCAGGGCTCAGCTTCCGCCTCACAGATGCCAAAAGGAGCTCAATCATCTTCTGACCTTGCTCCCCAGAGAGTGGCTTCACTTCAAAATAAGCCTCAGAGCTAGTGACCATCTCCTGCATGGTTTTTAAGGTTCCAGACTCTTCTGGGCAAGCAGAGAGGATGAGGTGGACTTTTGGGGGGCACTTTTTGGGCAGCCACATTAGGCCTGTTGACCCATAGGTCGAGTTCAGCTCCCCAACTGCATCCAATATGAGCACAAGTGACTCAACATTTCTGCTAGAAACTAGGAAGAGGAGATCTTGAAAGAACTGGACAGCACCACTATAAACAGCCATGACTCCTGCAGGTGGGAGTGGCAAACCATATGCTAAGCACACCTGGAGACAGATGCTGTTCAATAAAAGGCAGATGTTGGAACTTGCCTGGGATGTTCCGAGGAGTCGTAGCACCAGCACTGTCTTTTGTCCCAGGAAGTCTTGGATGTGCTCTGATATTTTGCACATCAGAGCTGTCTTTCCAACTCCAGGAGGCCCCAAAACAACCAGGGGAGTGTGATTGGTGCCATCATTTGCTGCGATGGCCTTTCCAATTTTGCTCAGGAGTTCCTCCCTCCCACAAAACACTTGGCACTTGTCCTTGCACTGGGCCATGTGGTGATGCAGCTCCTGAAAGAAAGGGCCCAGCATCTGGTTGCCCTCTTTCTGGTGGCGAAGGCGCTCGAGAATCTGATGGTTGACTGTGGCAATAAACTGCTCTCCCAGCTCCTTCAGGTACTTAGCATGTGCTTGTTTCTTTGGGTTCACCAGGTCCTGGCTCCATTGGACAAAGTGCACCTTCAGTAGTTTGGGGTGGTTGTCTGTAATTCTCACTTTGAGGCTGGTGAGAAAGTTCTGAGCTTCCATGTCGAGACAGCCATCTTCCTGCCGGTCCACCATTGGTAAGTTACACTCATCCAGAATGTGCTTATTCAGATCCCTGATTTCTCTAAGGAAAACTGTCGCTCCTAGGTCACCGTCACTGCTACCTACATTCAGAAGGCCATGTTCTATTTCCCATTCGATTACTGCAAAAGCAGAAACGGATTGGGATTGAGAATTCAATTGTAAACTGACAATCTCCAAATACATTAATCTCAAGATCAACCCATTTTCCAATGAAAGGAAGAAAACTGGGACAGGGAAGTGGGGAGACTAGGGCTTTCTTTGCCTCAGAATGCCAAATTTGAGCTGTCCTGACAACACTTACAGTCTATGTATGAGCAGCATAGAAACAATAGAACTTAGTATCTAGTAAGCAGGAATAATTGGTTAAAATAGGAAGCTAACAATAATGCCAACCAGGTGCAGTGCCTTGAATTGGTGTTTCAGGATTTCTTTCCCCCACAGAGCAGACCCTGCCAAATGACAGAGTGTGTGACTTATCTGGGGCATAGGTTTTCGGTACTTGGTCCAGGTGCTGGCTTCAGCTCTGGGGCCAGGCAGCTGGTGTCATGGGCAAGAGAACTAGCTGAGAAGGCCAAGCCTTGGGGTCCAGTCCCAGCTCTGACATTTACTAGACATGTGTCTTTAGGCCCATCACTTACTGCTCTGAGTTTCAGTGTCTTCATAGGTAAAAGGTAAAGATAATACTTCTACTACCTGCCTCACAGGGTTGTTGTGAGGAAAACATAATTATAAACCATTGTGATTCCAAGATAAACAGTGGACATAAATAGCTAGGTGGTATAGTGGATGGAGTGCCGGGCCTGGAGTCATCTTCATGAATTTAAGTCTGGCCTCAGACACTTACTAGCTGGATGACCCTGGGCAAGTCACTTAACCCTGTTTGCCTCAGTTTCCTCATCTATAAAATGATCTGGAGAAGGAAATAGCAAATCACTCTAGTGTACTTGCCAAGATAATCCCAAATGGGGTCATGAAGAATCAGACATGACTGGAAAACTACTGAACAATAACAAAAATATACCTGAAGGAGGAGTATGTCTCGCTACTCTACCTCTTTGTAATTATAATAATAACAGAGTCTAGGATTTATAGAACCTCTCCCTGCCAGGAGACCCAAGCATTTCAGTGCTCATTTTATGTAATAACCTAAAGATTGCAATTTTTTAATTAAGAAGAGAAAACAGTATGGCATGATAAATGTGGAGATGGCCTTGGAGACGGGAAGACCAGTGCCTCTGATACATATGGAGTCAATGACCCCGGGCAACTCTCATAGATTCATACGTCTAGAGCTGGAAGGAATCACAAGGCAATCTAGTCCAACCTCTTCATTTTACAGAGGAGGAGACTGAGGCAAAGGGTAATTAAATGACATCCAAATTCTCACCCATAGTAAGCACCAGAAGAAGAATTTGAACCCAGATCCTCTGGCTCCAGAAACAGTGATCGATCTTTCCAGTATACCACCTTTCTAACACTATAACCCTATAAGCTATGTCAGTCTGTAATGACAGAGGGAGTTTTCACACAGGGTATTTCCCATGTGGATGAAATTACAAGAACAAACAATAACAACCAAAAAACCCCTACCAAAACCAAAAAGGGAGACCACAAATGTTGACCCTCTAGTGGAGTTTATCTCATTTTACAATACAGTTCCTGAAAAAGTACCAATTTCCATAAATCAAAAGATAGCATGTAACTCTGAATATAGAATTATTTTCTTTCCCCCAGAACCCCTGGCCAAGCCTAGCTTGTATAAAGCCTAAATGTGGCCTACAATTGCTAATGCTTCTCAGCACATCCCCGAAAGTTTTTTTTGTTTCCTTTCAAAGAGACATTATGTTAGGAGTATGGCCTAAGCTTGGAGTGGCCTATACTCAGACCAATAGGATAATTTTTAAAAGTTAATCAAATAATTGAGATGAGATAAGTCCTAAAGGATAAGTCATGTTCCCCATTCTTTCTCCATCTATGAAATGGGGATAATAATACATATACCTATTTCACCAGGCTGTGTGAGGAAAGTATTTTGCAAAGGAAAGACATTGATAAGATGGCACATGGCAGCTGGGATGCTGAGAGGTCTTAAAATCAAGCCAGATGAATATCAGTTAAAAGAACTAGGAAGGGAGAAGAGAAGCCTTAGGTAAGGCATAAGAACTGTCTTCAAAAATGTGAAGGAATTAGATGGATTCTTCTTAGAAATGGGTGGAAGTTTCAGGGAGGCAAGTTTAGGCGTGATATAAGGAAGAACTTCCTAACTATAATTGTCCAGCAGATGGGCTGCCTCAAGAGGTAGCAATTTCTTCCTCCTGGGAGGTCTTTGAGCAGAGACTTGATGAACATCCATGGGAGAGATTACTGCTAAGATACAGGTTGGACCAAATGGTCCCACCCAGCTTTTATGTTCTTGGAGTCTTTGAAATATTTATCGAATTAAAAAGTTTTCATGACCAAAAAAAAATTCAGATGACCACTGTTTGGATATGTTGTAATTGGGGCAGCAAGGTGTGCAAATTTAGAGAATCCGCCCCAAATATTCACATGGACTATTTGTGCCCGACCTGTGGTAGGACATTCCAAGCTCATATTGGTTTTATCAGCCACAGTAGGATACACTGTAACTTGACTCTAGCATAGTGATGCCATTTTGGTCCTCTTCAAGAACAGACAACAGTCAACCAACCAACCAACCAGTTGGGGCAGCTAGGTGGTGTAATGAATACAGCAAGGGCTTGGCATAGTAGCTGTGGGATCTTGAGCAAGTCACTTAACTTCTGTTTCCTTCAGTTTCTTCAACTGTAATATGGGGATAATAATAGCACCTGCCTCCCAGTCTTGTTATTAGGATCAAATGAGATAATATTTGTAAAGCACTTAGCACAGTGCCTAGTACAGACTAGACACTATATAAATGCTAGCTATATCGCTATAGAAATATGAGTTGTTATTCTCTACCCTTCTCTAATGCCTTTGTGTGGTCTGGAGGTCTACCTGGCTTCTCAAAGAGTACACCAGTGAAGTCTAAGTTCTGTGGGTCCCACCAAGCTGGAAAGGCCTAAAGTACAGGCCCAGCTGGCTCTGAGTGCCTGTCGTCCAAGAATTAGCCGAGCAATTATAGGAGAGACTAAGAAATGGAACAGATGTTCCTCAGACTTAGAAATGATCTCACATTGCACTCTATCTCTGACATCACTAAAAGTGACCATCCAGATTCCCTTTGAAGACTTCTATCCAGAGGCAAGCTACTGTCGTAAAAGGCAGCTTAGCAGGGTTTTAGAGTCAGAGGACATGGGTTCAAATTCTGCCTCTTCCATTTACCAAATGTGTGACCTTTAGCAAATCAGGTAACCCCTTTGGACTTCAGTTAACCTCTTGTTGTTGAGTCATTTCAGTCATATCTGACTCTTTGTGACCCCAAAGGGTTTTCTTGGCAAAGATACTGGAATGTTTGCTATTTCCTTTTCGGGCTCATTTTATAGATAAGGAAACTGAGGCAAATGGGGTTAAATGACTTACCCAGGGTCACACAGCTAGTAAATGTCTGAGGCCAGATTTTACTCCAGAGCCAGCACTCTATCCACTGCATCACCTAGCTGCCCTAGTGATTTGCCATTTCTTTCTCCATTGGATTAAGGCAAACAAAAATTAAGTGACTTGCCCGAGGTCACACAGCTAAGAAGTTTCTGAGGCTGGATTTGAACTCAGGTCTTCCTGACTCCAGGCCCAGCACTCTATCCAGTGAGGCACGTAGCTGCCTCCAGTTACCTCTATCCATAAGATAACAGGGTTGAAATAGATGACATCTAAAGTCCCTTGCAACTCTAAATCTATGCCACACCAATTGTTAGGATACTTTTCCTTGTAACAAACTAAAACTTGCTACTGTGTGACTTCTCCCCACGATTGCTCCTGATGTGTTAACTCCTTCCTATATTCAAGGCAGGGTGCTAAATATTAGGGATAAAAAGATGAAAAATAACAGTCCTTGCAGTAAAGGGGCTTACATTGTAGTAATATGGAAAATAAGACATGTAGAAATAGATATATTTGTGTAATATGCGCAATATTTAACTGGAGCAAGAGTATGGTGGGAATCCATTGACTTTTGTTCTACTTATTCTCCCTTCTACAGAGCAGGGCATGTGTTATCCAAAAGCAAGAGAGATAAAGCCTTTTTCTTGCTCTTATATCTTAATGAGGAGATGACTCTTCCTGGTTGAGTCATCAATCATCTCTGACATAATCCCCTAGTCACGGGACCTTCCAGGAGTTGCTGGGTGGTGCATGTCCTTTAGAAAGGATCCAGAGCACATGACCCAAAAGAGAGTGGCTGATGCATGTCACCCCATCATAAATGTGAAACAAAGAGAATTTAAAGAAGGGTCACTTTCAGCTGGAATATCAGAGGATCATCAAAAGAGTTACTTTGATAGCTAGCTATCATACATTTATAACAAATTAATTTGGGGCAGGGGAAGGGGGCTGCAGAAACTAGTGAAGGTCATCCACTAAGGAATGGAAGGGTTGTGATCTGTGCCAAGGGAAGGAGGAATCTTCTGAGGCTTTAAAGATTGTAACAAATTGTGCACTATTCCTCGGTCCCTGATCATTACTGTTTTAGTCCAAATTTAGGTCAGACTTTTCCCCTAAATCTGGCTTTTTAAAATTCAAATACAGTCTTTGATATGTGTTGTTTTCAGTTTATATCTGAATACTATTTTCCCTTTCAAAGAGATTTCATTACGGTGGCAGCCAACATTGGATGTAGCTTCTATCCACAAATATTGGATTCCACAATGAATATATAGAAGGGTTCCCATAGAAAATCAATTTGGGGACCAGAGATGATAAAAAATCACTTTAAGAATGCACCATACCTTTTAAAACTGTAAGTTTAAAAGGAAAAGGATAATAAATTTATTTAGTGCCATAATTAGTGAGGCATAGCTGAGGCCTTGCCTTGGGCTACTGAATTTAGAGAATTTAAACAGCATTTCAAGTCCGTTACCAACTTACAAACAAGAGAGTTCAATACCTAGGTTGTAAGAATAATTAGTTCAAAGAGGAAGCTACCAGGTCAACCTTATTTCCTCCCTGCTAGGGAGTCATATTTCAGATTAAAGCTTCCCTGATCCTCTCCCACCACACCTCACTAAAGTATGTTTCCTATCACTTCTCCCTGGCACAAAAATTGCTTATTACATTTCTGATTTATGATTTTAAAATAATAGTAATCTACCACTGTTTCATTGTGTGATCTTGATCAAGACCTTTTCTGTTTCTGGACCTCATTTTTCCCACATGTAAAATGAGAAGGTTCAATGAGTCTCGATTGCCCCTTCCAGCCTTCAAGTTCTACGGTTTTGTAGTTCTCTAAACAATACTCAGAGGTCCCAAGGTACAAATAATTTATAGAAACCTCACATATACTCAAAACTTCATTCTTCTAGTCAACCACAAATGTACCCTTTTAAAATCCCAAATTTATGTTTTGTTTTATTGCTTCATTCTTGTGATTCCTCCCATTAGTTCTAATTGTTCTTTACATCATGACTAATGGGAAAATATGCTTGATATGAAATAGAGCCTATATCAGCCATGTTTGGTGGTGGGGAGAGATGTGGAAGGGGGAGAAAATTTAAAACTCAAAATCGTATGGAAGTGAATGTTGAAAACTAAAAATAAATTAATTATCAAGAAAAAAATTAAAAAAAATAAAACCCCAAACTTATGTTTGTTTGTTTTTTTTCCTAAAGGGTTTATCTTTGTGCTAACCTTTCAAATGTTTGTTTAGTATCCTCTGCCACTGTTTCATGATAAGGAATAGCATATCTTTATGCACAATGGGAGACTGGGTGCCCCCAAAAGAAATGTCCATAATTTGTTATTTCCTTAGGCCTCATTTCCACACCTCTGTTTTAGTTCAGCAGGATATACTGTTAGGGCAGTAATTCTCCTCTCTTTGAATTTATAGATTTTTCTAGACTGCCAAAACTGGGAGAGACCTCATTACTATTAGGGACCTTAGAACATAAAGAGTCATAACTGGGAGGGCTTAAATCAAATGTCAGAGTTGAAAAGGACCTTAGAGCTGCAGAATGTCAGTTTCCTAGGATCATAAGAACATGGAAGTCAGAGCTGGGTAGAATACTAGGAGCAAAGAATGACAGAACTGGGAAGGACATTAGACAGAATTTCGGAGCTGGAAAGGCCTTTGAATTATAGAATGTCAAAACAGAAAAGGAACTTAGAACATAAAACCCAGAACACAAAATGTCACAGTCTGAAATGAAATTCAGAATGCAGAACGTACAATGTCAGAGCTGGGAGGGAAGTTCCACCCCCTCATTTTACAAATGAGGAAACTGAAGCCCATGCAAGGGAAGGGCCAGGGTCACACAGGGAGGTGCTAAGGTTGCTTCATGACAGCCTTAACTTTTTATAGCTAAGGTGAACAATTCAGTAGAAATTGTGGAAGATGCTCAGATAATAAGGGCACATTATGTGAAACAAATCGGACTTGGGGTAGAAGAAGATTCGAGAGGCTTTCTAGTACCCACTCCGTTGCTGTTTCTGTTTGTTTGTTTTGCCAGGTAGAATCAGGCTGTGACACAGAGAGTGGAAATAAATGGCTTCACATCACACAAAGTCAGGGAGTAAGAATTAGAATCTAGGACTTATGACTCCTGTTTGATCAGCTACACTCTCACTTTGAATCACTTGCTTCTTGCAATGAGGGTATTCCCGAAGCTCGTGTCTCTTTCCTTTCCCCAATCAGTGCTGTTTAGTGAAATAAGCACTAGTAGACTTGGAGGCAAAGGACCTGAGTTCAAGTCCCACCTCAGATGCTTACTAGTTGGATGACCTTAGGCAAGTCACTTTAAGCCTATGGGCTTCAATTTCCTCATCTGTAAAATGAGGATAATAAGTACACTGCCTGCCTAACAGGGTTGTGAAGATCAGATGAGAAACCATATTCAAATTGTTTTGTAACTTTTAAAGCCCTGTACAAGGAACGTGTAACTATATAACATTAGCACTAAAGGGGACCTTAGATCCCCCTTCCCAAAATGAGGAGACGAAGGTCCAGAGAGAGGAAAGGAATCGCCCAAAGTCATAATGCCATTAGAAGCTAACATTCATAACCACAAATATCTGGTGATTTATCCCAAAAATATTTGCTTACTGTTGTGTAGACCCAGTTTTAATTGCCAGATACACTTTAAAGCTTTCTCCAAAGAGGTTAATTTGTTTTGAAATTAACTTCTGATGAGAGAAGTTATTTTTGAAGATGCTTTCGCCTCAGTGGGAAACTCCCAGTCACAGGAGCATGGCGACAGTTCCTCAGAGACAAGCCTAGATCCCAGCTCACTCAGGTACCTAACCAGCACAGGCCTTCTGACCCAAGAACCAAAGGCCGTTAATAATGTTTACTACGTAAATGGCAGAGTTTTGGAAAGAAGAAAGAAGAAAGAAAGGAAGGAAGGAAGGAAGAAAAGGAGAGAGAGGGAAGAAGAAAGAGAGGAAGGGGGGCAGCTAGGTGGCGCAGTGCATAGAGCTCCAGCCTTGGAGTCAGGAGGACCCGAGTTCAAATATGACCTCAGACACTTGACACTTACTAGCTGTGTGACCCTGGGCAAGTCACTTAACCCCAATTGCCTCACCAAAAAGAAAAAAAAGGGGGGGAGGAAAGAAGGGAAGGAGGAGAGAAGAAGGGATAAAGTAAGGAAGGAGTTAGAGGTCCAGGATTCTTCTCTGTCAGTGAGGCTGACCAGACCTCTAGAATGCCAACAAAGTCATTCATTCATTCCTTGTCTATTTGAAGTAATGCTTTCCTTACAACAACCCTAGGTATATTTGATTGCCTCCTTTTGTATTCTACAAACAAGAAAGGTGAGGCTCAGGCCACAGCCAGGAAGTGGTAGACCTGGACTTAACCTCAGGAGCAACACTCTTTGCACTCTACTGCACTTCCTATTACTCAATAGCATTAATTTTCCCTTGACCTCCACATAAGTCACCATCCCCTCCCCGACCCCCAGCTCTCACCAAAAGACCTACTTCTACCAAAGCCAACATATTATGTTAGAATTTCAGAGCTAGAAGAGCTCTCCAAGATCATCAAATCCAAGGTCCTGCCCAATGCAGGAATCCCTTCTCTTTGCAGTACCCCAGATAAGTGCTCATCTCATCTCAAAACAGGCAGTGTGGTTTAATGGAATTAACTCTGGATTTGGAGACCTAAGATCTTAGGGAAAGTCCAGATTCTCTCATTTACTGACCTTATTGACCTATTACTGACTTTGGGCAAATTATCCCACCGCTCTAAGCTTCAGTTTTCTCATCTGCAAAGTGAGAGAATAACAATATGTACCTCTCAAGGATGTTGGGAGGACAGCACTTTGTAAAGCAGTATGTAAGTGTGAACTATTATTATCTATTCTCTGCTTGAACACTTCTCAAGGGAGTGCATTCCATTTTTGGATAGCTCTGATGATTACAAAGTTCTTCTTTATATTGAAATGACCAAAATCTATCTCCCTGTAACTTCTACTCATTCATCCTAGTTCTCCTTTCCCCCTGTGTAGAAAAAAAAAAAAAAAACCTGTTTTCCACATGACAACCCTTCAGATATTAAAAGACAACAAACGCATTCCACTTAAGGCTTCCATTCTTCTTCAAGTAGGGCAAAATCTAGAACTTAAAAGGATCCTAGAGTGCTAGTAGATTTCTAAGGTTCCTTCTTGCTTAATATCTATGATCTGAGTCCATTTTGCAGATTAGGAAATGAAGGCCCAGAGAGGTTAAGTGATTTCCTCAAGATTATATGGCTCATAGGGAACAAAGCCAAGATTCTAAACCAGATCACCTTGTTCTGAATCCCATTGCTTTTTTCACTAGACCACTTAATAATATGCTCTGGATAGTCCCCTAGCTGTGGATCTCTTATCCAAGGACCAGCCTTACTAAGTGTGGAAAGCATTGTCATCAAAGGTTTGGCCACTAGAGAAATAATGGGTCTTGGCTACAGAAATCCCTGAAAGACTGTTTACCAAGGTGGTAATCTGTGTAGGTAGAAAAAGTATTATCACAGATGAAATTAGATATCTTTTTTAAGTAGCAAAAACTTTAATGACACTTTAGGGTTTATTAATCACTTTCTTCACAACAACCAGGTAAGGTATAATTCCTCCCATTTTATAGATGAAGAAAGTGAGACTAGTCCACAGCCACACAGCTAGAAAGTATCATTACTAGAACTTGAACCCAAATCTTCATACTCCCAGACCCAATCCCTTCCCACTCCATCACAGTGAATATTTTACTTTTCTTGATTAAAATAGCAAATGACTAGTCAGTGGCTGAGAGGATGCATTGAAACTACTTCCTTATCCTTTGCTTAATGATTAGAGGTAATACTTTGGAGAAAGTGCAGGACTTGGAGTCATTTCCCAGCTCTGCAATTTTCTAGCTGTATGACCTTAGACTAGTTACTTGACTGAAAGTCAGTTTCCTCATCTGTAAAATGAGAGTGGTAATCTTCATACTACCTTCCTCACAGGATGGTTGTGAGGAAAGTACTCTGCAAACTCTAAAATGCTATAGAAATGGGAACTGTTATTAGCCTCAGAGAAAAACGCTTTTAGTCCACCTCAGCTCTGTAAGCGCTGCACCTGATTTGTGGTATCGAAGCCTCTGCTCTCTGCTGATCAAGCCTCGCCTCTCCGCCTCCTGAGCTGCTGATCGAAGGGCCGTGGCCAAGCTGCTTTCTGCCTTCCTCCAGGCTGCACAGTCCCCATGGTGCTGCTTCTGGTACTGGGGCACGTGTGTGGTGATGGGCTGCAGGATGTAGACCGGAGGGACTGCATTCTCATCCTTCCAGAACCACTGGGCCAGGAGGGTCAGGCTGTTCGGGTTTTTTGTGAGCTGGGCACACAAGGCCTGGAACTCCTTCTCTTCAATCAGTCGGGGAATAGGGCAGTGTCCATACTGATCACCCACGAGTGCCTGCCGCAGAGGGTGTAGAGAGACACTGTCGTATACACAGTAATTGGGATAGGACTTACACCAAGGGCTGAGATCCGAGGGGTCTCTGCCCAGAAGCATTACCCCCACCTAGGCCAATGGGACTTCATGTCTTAAAGGTTTCGGCTTTAGGAATCTGAGAGGGTACAGGGACAGACTCTGGAGCTACTAACTGTGATGTTTTCATGGTCATTAGCAGCTGTCATTGATTTAAAATACAGGTCACGGGGGAAAGTGAGAATTAGTGCTCCTGAGGTGATGGAGCTCAGAAGGATCTTAGAATACAGAATGTCAAAAGCAAAAGGGAACTAGTCTAAATCTCTCATTTTACAGATGAGAGAACTGGGTCCCATAGAAGGGAAAGTCTTTTTCTGAGAATTCCACAGGGAGTCACTCATAGAACCAAGAGCCTAGGTCTTCTAATTCCCAAACCAAAGATACTAACTTTTTGTGTGACCTTGAGAGAGATGTTTGACCTTTCTGGGCCTGAAGGTCCTCATTTCTAAAATGAAAGAATTCAAATCTAAGAGCTCTTCCTACTCTCCAACATCCCATCTTCTCTGCTTCCCTCATTTCAGAGTGGAATGTTCTAAGGTGCCTTTAGGTTCTGATCTTCTATGCTTTCAGTTCTTCCCAGCTCAGACATCTTATACTCTGAGGCCCCTCCCAGGTCTAACATTCTGTGTTCTAGGTGCCCTCTTAGCTCTGACATTTTCCTTTCTAAGGTCTCTCCCAGCTCTGACATTCTGGGTCACTAGCCAACTATTTCACTGTAGTCACAGGAAGCTTTAAACAGCCATTGAAAAGAACTAAAAAAAAACAAAACAAAAAAAAACACCAAGTCTGCTTGGCCCACGTGTTTTGAAAGACATTCTGATTGCTTGTTTCCCCTAAAGGCCCCAAACCCTCTAATGGAGACGCCTTTGGGGAAAATGTGGGTTTATACAACAGCCTAATGACTTATTTACTAGAGAGCTGGTTCCCTAAGGACTTAGAGGTCAATTTGGATTTTCATGGAAAGTCACTCAAGATTCCTGAGCCTTTCAAAGGACTTTGAGATTTGTTTCCACTTAGGTTCATTTATCATGGGATCATAATTCCAAAACTGGAAAGGATTTCAGAGGCCACCTAATTCAACCCTCTTGTTTTACAGATGAAGAAACTAAGGCCTGGGGGAGGTGAAGTGATTTGCCTAAGGTCATCCAGGTAGCCTTAGAAGTGAGATTTGAACCCAGATTTTCTGAACCCAGAGCCAGTGCTCTTTTCACTGTGTTTCCTTTCTTTTCTTATAAAGGAAGGATAGAATCACTCCAAGTAAAGAGGATGAGGTGAGGTCTGGCCTGAAGATTTATCAGTAGAGGATGAGGGGAAGTGGGAAGACAGGAAAGGGGGAATGTTCCCAGATAAGTCATTTCTAATCTTCTTGTAACATCTCTCCTAAATCCCTCATATTTTAGGTCTTCCCTCTGGACCATCATCACCATCATCCACATTAGCACTTCCCAGCAAATTCTCAGTGATTTACTTCAATCGCAATTCTTGTCTGAAGATAAGCTGTCCCAAAATATAAGACACTACCTGTCCTACCCTCACCCCAAAATGTGATCTCTTTGAAAGAAAAAAATACTTAAGGATAAACAGAAAGTAATATGGATTATAAACTGCACTGAGATTTTAAACAAGCCAGATTTAGGGGGGAAAGAGCAGCCTCTATATGGATCAAGACAGTATTGATTTGGGATTAGGCATGTTGCATCCATTCATTACTAAATGTCTTAATAATAATACCCCATATTTGTACAGTGATTTTTTTAAAAATCCCTTTCGTGGGTATTACATTGGTATCCACTGGTAAAAGACCTAGAGGGAAGACTTCTAGTCCATTGGGTAAATCCTTTCTTCAGGACTGATGGAAAGACAGAATCATATAAGAGGAAAAGTTATTGAACTTTTTTATATCCATGAGATCAAAGATCATCTAAATACAGTGAAGTATTTCATAGTAAGCGTCTTAACATCTGTACTATTAATAACTCATACTTCCATAGTACATTATAGTTTGTAAGGTGCTTTTTCATGATAAGGTCATGAAAGCATTATATGTGCCCATTTTATAAATGGAAAGACCAAAGGCCATAGAGGGTAAGTGGCTTGTCAAAAGTTATATAGTTAATATGTGGCAGAGTCAAAACTTAAATCTTGGTCTGGGCTCTCCCAGCTACTCAAGGCTGCCCCTCCTTGAGACCAGGGAACGTCTCATTCCTTTTTATCCCCCTCCACAGTTTCTGTCACAAAGGCTTTGCATAGTAAACATTTCTGAAGGAATAGATTGACCAGTTAGGGCTACCTGTGGGCAGGCGAGATGGTTCAGCCACTTTGGCCAGAGTGTGTCAAATTCTCTTGTACAGGGATGCCTGTTGAAGTGTGGGTAAGTGATAGCCACCAGAGGTGCAGTAGGAAAGCCTAGATACCCCAATGCCCCTATCATTTTGGTAGGTGAGCTCTACTATGTGAGCTGTTTCTGCCTTATCTTTCCCAGGACCAGAACTCCACTTTAGGGACTTCTCCATACCATGCCTCTATTTCCTTTCTTCTCTCTTTCCAGTCTCCCTGTATATATTAGAATTTAAGCTTCTCTAGGGAAGGAATTGTCTTGCTTACTTGTACTTGTATCCACAGCTCCTGGAACATAATCAGTATCTAATAAATGCTTTATCTGTCTATGTATCTATCTACCTACCTATTTATTCTTCTTTCGAATGGCTTTATTCTATCTCAGTTTAGTTTTGTCTCCACCTCTTTGCTGGGGTTCCGGCCAGCAGCGCTGCCCAGCCAGTTCCCTGAGCCCTAGACAAGGGTGGAGCTCAACCTGTGAGGGGATTGGCCATTGTGATAAGAGTCAACCAGGCCTGAAGAGCCCAGCAGCAGAAGGTAGTAGCACTAAATTATTCTGTCGTCATGCCTTTTTATATAGCCAGATTGTATAAAGCTACTTTCATGTGTCCTTCTCCTGCTCAGTTATAAGCTAATTGAAGGCAAAGACTGCTTTCCCTTTCATCTTTGCATCCTCAGTACCCAGCACAATGCCTGGCATATAGCAGGTGATCAATGAATTCCTCTTGATTGATGATTGCTTACTATAAAAGTGGGTCCTGCGGAGAGTTTCTGACACATTGCAATCTCCTCCAAGCACAGGTCAATGGTTGTGTGGTCCACATCCTCCAAGGTAGGGAGACCCCACCTCAGATCTACCACCTGGGTAAGACAATAATCACACAATGAGTTGGAAAAAGGCCGGCTGTAGAGAAGTCTGTGGGTCCAGATGAGAGGAAGGGGTTACTGCCCCTCTTAAGCCTATTCTGAATAGCGGACACACAGTATGTCAAAATGTAACTTAATGGAAGATATAAATTATGGAAGAGATTCCATGTTTTATGTCCTCAGGTTTCTAGAGGCAGTGTGGTAGAATGGTAAGAAACCTGAACTCAGAATCAGGAGAGACCTGGGAAGAACAGTACCTATGGTTAGCACTTAAAGGCATCTAAATTCAATTACAAAGACCAATCTTAGTTCCATAGGACAGATGATAAAACATATGTCCTTCTTGATAGAAAGATGAGAGACTTACATGTCCATAGTGTTGCATATGCTGTCAGATGCAATCTAAATTCAGTAATGGTTAGTTTTGCTGAACTGTTTTTCTTAAATACAAGGGAGGTTTTTTAGGGGTAGAGGAAGCAAGTGTGGTGTAAAAAAAAGGTATCAATAAAACTTCAAAATAAATAGTAATAACATCTGTACCTGCCTCACAGAATCATTGAGAGGATTAAATAACAATATTTAGAAAACGTGGGGCAGCTAGGTGGTGATGTGGATAGAGCACCAGCCCTAGAGTAGGAGGACCTGAGTTCAAATGCAACCTCAGTCAATGACTAGCTGTGTGACCCTGGGCAAGTCACTTAACCCCAATTACCTCGCTAAAAAAAAAAGAAAAAGAAATAAAAAGAAAATGCTTAGTAAAAATTAGTGTTTTGCTTTGTAATTATCAGAAATTATTGTTAAGGTCCCTCCCAATTCTAATATTTCTATGCTATATATTTTAATGTTCCTTCCTGCTCTAATATTCTTTAAATCTATGGGATGATTTACCTAAATGGAATACTTTTTTTGAAAAAGAGTTTTATTGATACCTTTTGTTTTTACAGTTATTTCCTCATACCCCATCCTAATTTCCAGACTGAATAAAAAATAACAATAATCAAAACCATACAGTGCTTAGCACAGTGTCTGGTACATAGTAAGCTCTTAATAAATGTTTGTTGGCATGACTATAGTTTTTTCAACCATTCCTCAAATGATAGGCACCAACTATATTTTGTTTCCAATTCTTTACTGCCATAAAAAGTACTGCTATACACATTTTAGTGTGTTTTGGACCTTTGTTTTGGTCTTTGACTTCCTTGGGGTAGTATATGTTTAGGTCATTGTTGATTCCTGTCCTCCTCTCAGTGACCCCATTTGGGGTTTTCTTGACATGGTTTGCCCCTTTCCTTCTCCAGCTCATTTTCACAGATGAGGAACTGAGGCAAAGAAGGTTAGGAGACTTGCCCACTGCACCATCTAGCTGCAGTATATTCAGGAGTCAATTGCTAAGTTAAATTGTAGGGATCATATGGATAGCTGAGTCGTTTAGCTTTCATAATTCTACATTAAAATGCAAAATAGTTGAACTACTTCACAGCTAAACCAACAGTAAATTAGAGGGCCTCTTTTCCCATGGGTCCTCAAAAACTGATTATTCTCTTGCAGATTGAAGCATACTGTTTGCTATTTTTTCTCTTCTGTTGAGTTTTGTTTCCTCTTTCTGGTGGTTCCTCCTATTCGTTCTAATTTTTACTTACAACATCACTAATCTGAAAATATGTTTAATAAGAATGTATATATATAGCCTATATCACATTGTGCGCCATCTTGGGGAGGGTGGTGGGGAGGAAGGGGGAGAAAAATTTTAAACTCAAAAGCATATGGAAGTGATTGTTGATAAATCAAAATAAATTAATTTTTTAAAAAACTGATTATTCTCATCTTTTGTCACCTTTACAAGTTTGCATGGAATGAAGTGGAACCCTCAGAATTGTTTTAATGTTCTTTTCTCTCTTATACTTTGGAGCATTTTCATGTGGTTATTTACCATTTACAAATTTTCTTTTTAAAACTCCATATCTTTGAACCACTTATCTATTAGAAAATAGCTCTTAGTGTTACAAATTTGTGCCAATTCCCTACATATTTGGGGCATTAGGATTTTGATTTATGCTTAATGCAAGTTTTTCTTTCACTCTACTATTTCTCTTTTAATTCTGTCCTCATTGATTTTATTCATTCTTTTTTAATTTTAGGTAGTCAATATAATGTATTTTCTTTCATAATCTGTTATCTTCTTTTCGGTTAAGAATTCACCACTTAGTCATAGTTGCAAAAGGTATCTGATCTTACTCTTCTGATTTTTTTTTTATGATATGGACTTTAATATTCAGGTAAATACACCCATTGTGTGATTATTGTGGTATATAGTATAAAATGTTGATCTAATCCTAATTTCTACTAAACTGCTTTCCAGTTTATCCAGCAGCTCCTTTTAAAAAACTAGTCTTTCCCCAGTAATTTTTGGTCTAGGGTTTATCAAATATAATACCATGGATTTTGACATATTTTCCTGGTTTCTTAATCAATATCAAATAATTTGATGAATACTGCTCTACAATATACTGTAGTGTAACATCTGGTAATGCTATGCCCCCTTGATTTGTGCTTTTCCTTGTTACATTCCTTGAGATTCTAGACCTTTTGTTCTTCCAAATGAATTTTGTTCTTATTTTGTCTAGTTCTAAGAAGTATTCTTTCAGTGGTTTGATGAGTATAGCATTAAATTTATAAATTAATTTAGGTAGTATTGTAATTTTTATTATATTAGCAGAACCTAACCATGATAAGTTGCTATCTCTACAATTTTTAAGCCTCCCTTTATTCATAGTAGTAGTTATGTAAATCCATATGTGTTTTAGTCCCAGATATTTTATGCATTTAATTGTAATTTTGAATGGCATTTCCATATTTACCTGGAGTTTTTTGCTGTTGTCATTAGTACAAATAGGGACTGAACCTGTGAATTTATTGTTACAGGGAATAGCCAGATGAGGAAATTCCTTCTACCGATGCAAGTCAGCACCTTCTCTGAAATTTAGAGTCAGAAAGTTTTCTAGAGGTCTGAGAAGTTGAATGAGTGAACCACAGTCACATAGAAAGTATGTGTCAAAGGTGGGACCAGAATCCACCTCTTTCTGGCTCTAGGGTTAGTTCTTGATCCACTGTGCAATTCTGCCTCTCTCTTCCTCTCTCTCTCTCTTTCTCTCTCCCTCTGTCTTTTCTGGGTTTTTTTTTTTTTTTATGGTTGGTAGATCTCTGACATTTTATGTTAAAAACTCTGCAGCTCAATAATTTTATCCATTGTAAAGTTTACAAGAGACCAACAGGAAGGAAGAATATGCTGCAGAGGTCAGAAGCCTAGTTTTCTTTGTTTCCTTCTTTCTTTTTTTCTTCTTCCTTCTCTTCTTTCCTTCATACTTTCTTTTTCTTTCTTTCCTCCCTCCCTCCCCTTCCTTTCTTCCCTCTCTTTGATGATTTTGTGAGGTTATTTTGAATCCTACAATCCTGCTATAGCTATTAATTGTCTCAATTAGTTTCTCCAATGATCCTTTGGAGATTTCTGGATATAATACCATGTCCTTTATAAGTAGGGACAGTTTTGTCTCCTTGTTGCCAATATTTGTCCCTTAGATTTTGTTGCCTTTTCTTATTGCTACTAGACTTTCTAGAACCATGTCAAATAATCATGAGGAGAGGGGGCACCCTTGCTTTACCTCTCTTTCTACTGGGAACATTTTTAGTATTTCTCTGTTGTTAACAATACTGGCTCTTGGCTCTAAGTATACGATTTTGATCCTATTAAAGAAAGTCCTTCCATACCTATGCTTTTTAGGATTTTTAACATAAAAGAGTGCTGATTTTTGTCAGGTTTTTTCTGCATCTATTGCCGTAATCATGATTTTTGTTATCTTTGTTGTTTTTATAATTAATTATGGTAATTATTTTCCTCATGTTGAACCATTCTTTTTTTTTTTTGGTGAGTCAGTGGGGGTTAAGTGACTTGCCCAGTGTCACACAACTAATGAGCATTATGTGTCTGATGTTGAACCATTCTTAATCCCTTCTGTGAATCTGACTTGATCACAGTGAGTTCTTTTCTGCATATATTTCTGTAGCTTCTTCCCAAGGATTTATCTAAAAGTTTTGCATTAACATTAATTTGTGAGTTTGGTCTAATTCTTATTCTCTGTTTTGTCTTTCATTTGTTTGGTTGTCAGGACCATATTTGCCTCATAAAAGGAGTCTGGTAGAATGATTTATTTCTCGATTTTTGAGAATAACTTTTTTTTTAGCATGAGTATTAGTTAAACATTTGATAAAATTCACTTGTAAATCATTTAGCCCAGGTTTTTCTTTTCTTCCTTTGGCAATTCATTTATGCCTCATTTGATGTCTTTTTCTGATATTTGCTTATTTGAGATATTTATTTTTTTAGCACCATAGATCTCAAAGGCACCTCAAAAATCATCTAGTTTAACACTGTCTTTTACAGATAAAGAACCACAGCACTGAGAGGTAAGTGATTTGCCCAAGAACACACAGATAATAAGCATCAGGAATAAGAACTGAACTCAGGTCCTCTAATTCTAGAGCCATTGATCTTTCCACTGAACCACACTGCTACTTTGGATATTATATATGTTTGTAGAATCTCATTATATCTTTTGAATTCTGTTTTTTTGGCATATAATTGTGTATAGTAAGTTTTATTTCCTCTTGTGAATTCACCTTGTACATTTTTTATTTTGTTAATTCATGTTCTACTATTTTTCTTGATCAAACTGATCAGTATTTTTATCAATTTTTTTTAGTCTTAAAAAAACAGCTCCTAGTTTAATCAGTTTTATAATCAGTATTTTTAGCTTTATATATGCTCCAATTTTCAAGATTTCTTATTTTGTGTTTATTTTAAGGCTGCTAATTTGTTTATTCTCAAGTCTATAATTGAATGCTTAGTTCATTAGTGCTATCTTTTTCCATTTTGTTAATATAAGTTTCCAAATATAAAAGTTTTCCTCTGAGGGCTTCTTTAGTTGCATGTCAAAAGTTTTGGTATATTGTTTCACTGTTATTATGTTTAACATAAGCATTTATTGTTTCTATGATTTGTTCTTTGATCCAATAATATTTTAGGATGCCATTACTTAGTCTCTATTTAGTTCTATGTCATTAATGTATTTCCTTTATTCAATACTAATTTTATTGTTTTATGTTCCATAAATTATATCATAAATGTCAGCCTTTTTACATTTTCTGTGATATCTTTGTGCCCTAGCACACAATCAACTTTTGTAAATATATTTTGTAAATACTAACAGTCTCATTCAGAAGTTTCTATAGGTCAGTCAAATTCAACTTATCCAACAATTTGCTCAGCTCTATATTTTCCTTATCTTTCATTACCTTTATCCAGTTCTGAAAAAGGAATATTAAAACCTATTATTATGGTGTCACTGTCAATGTCTTCTCTAAAATAACTTAGCTTTTCTTTTAAGAATTTAGTGGCTATGATATTTGGTGCATATAAATTTAGTAATTTTTCATAGTCTATGGTACCTTTGATCATAATATGATTTCCTTGTTTGTTTTTCTTGACTTTGTAAAATTTTATCGTTGCTTTATCTGAGATCATGATCCTTTTCCCCCCTGAGTCTCTTAAAGAGTAAGAGATTTTGTTTCAGCCCTCACTTTTCATTCTGCAGGTGGTTGTATGTTTTAAATGTGTTTCTTGTATGCAGCAAATTGCTGAGTTTTGCTCTTTTATCCGTTCCTTTATTTTTTTATTTTTATTAGGAAATTTAATCCATTCACATTTAAGATTATAATTGTTAAGTTTGTGTTTTTTTTCACTGACTACCAATGTGATGTGCATATATGTGTATAATATAAATTTATCATCTCTTTCAAATGAGTACTTAATCATTGCCATTTGTTTTGCTTATCCAGATCTAAAGTTGGTCCTCTCACTGCAACTATTGCTGCCCAGTCCCAAGCTCTTTATTTGATTAACCCTCCCTTTTCCAACTTAGATTAGAGTGTGCTATCTAGCTCTCCCTTCTCCTCCTACCTCATCCATTTTTTAATTTCCATGACATTAATTTGTAATGTTCTTTTCTAAGAAATGTTGTTTTCCTTCTAAGCCTTTTCCTTATTTCTTACCCCTTCTAGTATCTCTAGAATCTATTTCTAGGAATGATAATTCTTAATGGAGGAAGTGGGGTATAATTCCATAATTCTCCTTTAGGGGATCCAGTTCCTAAAGAGAATGCTTTGAAAATTGTAAAGGGCATACAAAAGTGAGCAGTTATTACCATGTTTAACTTTTGACCTCAGCAACACAAAGTCATTCTATTGTCTTAAAGTAGGGGGTAGACGTGATGATTTTCAAAGATTCTGTGATCCCTACAATTATTCAGTTTGCCCACAAGGAACTCAGCCTAATGACAGAACCAAAAAAGCCGGTGTTACCTCCAACATTAATCCATGCTTCTGACAAAAGGTCTGTACTTCAGGGTACGCAGCTCCCAGCAGAGCCTCCCTCTCTGCATCCATGTCTGAAAGATATCAGCAGGGAAGAGTCCATTTAGTCTGAAGTAAATCAGAGAAAATCCATATGGAAATACATCATCAAACAGGCATCCTTTGGAACAGGAGCAGCTGCCCATCCTGTCCCTACCTGGGGCATGTTGAAACAGGGGATTCTCCTCTCTGTTTGAAACATGATCCTATTCATTTCCTAGGATTGTGCTAAAACACCCACATTCTCCTACCGGGCCTCCCCTGTGACCATTGGCAAGCAAGAGTCCCTGGCCTGCCCTGGCTAGCAGGGGCAGCCAGTATCTGTGGAAGAGGTGATTTTACATAGCTGAAGGTGGGGCTGGTGGCAGAGAGTCCTTGGAGAGGTGGGGAGAACACGGAATTTAGAGTCAGATTGGATTCCTGGTTCTGCTACTCACTCGCTGTATGGCCTTGGGCAAGTAGCTTGCCCTCTCTGAGCTTCCTTTCTGCCCTCTGTGATGACATAATCCCTGACAAGCTCATAGTCATAATTATATTCCCTGGCAAGAAGGGATGTGCTGGAGCCAGATCATACTGGTTCATAAAAGCCAGTTATCAAATTTTCAGGGTGAGTATTTATACCTCAGAAATGAGCAAAAGCTATGAATCAGGACTTGAGTTATTGTTTTGTTGATTTCTACATTTAAGAAAGCAATGGAGAAAATATTAATAATTCAAATTAAACTTAAAAGCGTGTCCAGTATACATTTTTCTCAGAGAGATGCTTGTTAAATGTTTACCAGCACATCCCTGCTTGTAAGCTTGCCTCACGGATTGATGGAAAAGGCCTAATGAAAAACTGAAGGTAGGAATAAATGCTTTGAAAACTCCAAGGGAAGGGGCAGCAAGGTGTTGAAGTGGATAGAGCACTGGCCCTGGATTCAGGAGGACCTGAGTTCACATCCAGCCTCAGACACATAACACTTACTAGCTGTGTGACCCTGGGCAAGTCACTTAACCCCATTGCCTAGCCAAAAAAAGAGAAAAAGAAAACTCCAAGTGAAGACTGACAAAGAAATGTGACCCCCAAAGGACTCTGGGCTGACCCCAGGCCAGCTCTGATATTGGAGGCTGACCCCAAAGAGTAATTTCTCTTTTTGGCTCTTTGCTGTCACATGGAGTTAATTCAGGAAAATCTCCAAAATAAAGCTTGAGTGTGGCTTTTGTTTATGCTTTCCTAAAAATGAATAACAAGGTCTCCTGGCACATAGTAGGTGCTTAATAAATGCTTATTGACTGACTGACTGAACCAAATCCTAAACAGGCACTCACTGTACATTAGTATTGAGTATGAGACCACCTTATTTCACCCCATAGAAAATGCTTAGGACATTAAAGACTCACGGAGCTTATGACCAGAGAAACCTGAAGCACTCACGTGGCCCCCCAGCTCCCCTTGGATGGGTGCAGAACCTGGAGGGGGTGTCATTGTCATCACACTCTGATTGGGGCCTCACCAGCACCACACTTTAGCTGAACTAGCCAACAAAACACATGCAGGCAAAATAAGGGCGCGACACTGGCCAGGGGGTGCAGAAGAAAAGAAGAAAGGTTAGGGTCAGGGTCAGGGTCCTGAATGGAGTGTGACAGCATCGAATGATGGCATGTCCCATTATACCAAAGGTCAGTAAACTTGTCTTCTAGGCTTGATTGTCCCACTAATTTTCTATGTAGCCTTGTACAAATAATTTTCACTTGCAAGCACCAGATTTCCCCTCTATAAATTGAAGTTGGACTCTAAGGTCTCTTTCAATGCTAATACCCTGTTAGATGTTGTAAAAAAAAAAAAAAACAAACCCTTCTGGATATGATCCATTATGTGCTAAAGCCCCTCCCAAATCTGATATCCTCTGCTTATGTTCCAGGAACCTTGCCACATGAAGTAATATGCCACAGTAGAAAGAACGCTGCCTCTTGGGTCAGAGGACCTGGGTTCAAATCCCACTTCTAATATTTACTACCTGTGTGACTTTGGGCAAGTCACTTAACTCCTCTGGGTCTCAGTTTCTTAATCTGTAAAGTTATAGGGCTGGACTAGGTTCTTAAGTCCCTCCTAGCAATAAATCTGCTACCCTCTATTCTAAGGTCTCTTCCTACTATGACCTTGTATCTCCTAAGATTCTTCCCAGCCCTCATGTTCTTAGTTCACAGGTCCCTGCCAGCTCTTATAATCTGTGATTTGATGATTTCAAGAGGTGCTGAGACCCTTTGCTTCATTTTTTGACCCAAATGTAGCTATGAGTCTATGTGACCACTTTAAACACCTCAGCAAGCCATGGAAAGGTCAGCAAAGTTATCTTCCCCAAGGAGAGCACAAGTAGATTCCTGGCAGAAATTCGGAATTGAAAAGCACCAAAGAAGTCATATAGTCATTCAACTTGGGCCTGATCAAGAATTCCATCTACAAAATACCCAACAAGAGACCATTGAGTCTGAATGAAGATCTCTCTGGTGATGGGTGATGGGGCTCTCACTACTTACTAAGGCACCCATCCCACTGTGGGCAGCTTTAATTGTTCATGAGTCATCCATTACACAAAGCCTAAATCTGCCTCTATGCAGCTTCCAACCACAGCTTCTAATTCTGCCCTCTGGGCCCAAGCAGAGGTGTAACTAGGGCATGGCAAACAGGGCTTTGCCCAAGGATACCAAAATTTCCAAGGCATAGACAGCACTTGCAAGGCATAGAATCAGAATTTCAGACATGGAAGGGTCCTTTCCAATGCTATAATTGTTTTTATTTGGTTTTTTTTTGTTTGTTTGTTTGTTTTAGTGAGGCAATCGGGGTTAAGTGACTTGCCCAAGGTCACACAGCTAGTATGTGTCAAGTATTTGCTCTGAGACCAGATTTGAACTCAGGTCCTCCTGACTTCAGGGCCGGTGCTCTATCCCAATGCTAAAATTTTATAACTATGAATATCTTCATTTTACACATGAGGAAACTGAAGTTCAGAAAAGTCATTACCAAACCAACAGCATGGTTGTGTTTGTGAAACTTATTTCCTTTTCATATTGGTTCTTTCTAGACAAATTCTAGTTTTCAAATGGACTTCTTGGGGATGTATAGGTCCTACCTCCTCCTTTAAGAATGGAAACTCTTTGAGGGCAGGGACTGTCATACATGTGTCCCTAGAACTTAGCACAGTGCTTGGCATACAGTAAGTGTTTAATAAATGTATTTCATCCATTTATTCATTCATTCATCTTAGTCTTTAGCCAAATTTTGTATGTATGTCTCAGAGTAAACTAGTTGTACCTAGAACTGATCAAAACTAAGCAATGGTTTACATTCAAGGGCTTTAAGGGCCGAGAAAAATGTATCCCACTCACAGCCAGCAAAGGCTCTTGGAGTATGTAATGCCCAAGCTGGGAAGGCCCTTAGAAAGGAAAATGTCAGAGGTGAGGGGACTTAAAATACAGAATGTCAAAACTGAGAGGGACTTTAGAATACCACATCAGAGTTTGAAGGGCCCTTAGAATGTGCACCTTAGAAGGGACCTCAGAGCTGGTAAGATTAGAACATAGAACATAAAATGTCTGGAAACATAGGAGTCAGAGCTCAGAGGGACCTTATAACAGAGAACAGATTGTTTGATCTTAAAAGGATCTAAGAACGTAGAGTATTAGAGCCAGAACATTACTTAGAGCATAAACACAGAATGTTTCAGCTTGAAGAGACATTAGACGTAGAATGCCAAAGTTGAGAGGGATATCTGAACCTAGAACACAGAACTTGAGAGTTTAGACTCCTTGTTTTACAACTGAGAAAACTGATACCAGTGAGGGTAAGCGATTTGTTGCATCTGGTAAAAAGAGACAAAGCTGAGCCCCAAGCCCATGTCTCTGGAGTCCTGGGGCAATGTTTTCTCCACTCTGTCATTCTGGAGTTGTCTTTTATGAATCACTTGTACACATTTTGTCCCCAAGAACTGTTACTTCAAATCCTAGGTCACTCACCTGAGAAAGTTGAGCTGATGAAAATTCTAACCACTCTGGATGGCTGGGCAGGGAGCAATACCATCCTTCCCTGGAGAAACTTCTGACGGGTCCTGGGACTAAGACTCATGTTGTTGCCCACACTGACTGTTTTCTTCGAGATGTCTCTTGGAAAATCAGTTTCCTAATGCCCATGAGTGAATTGAAGGAAACTGTGTGGCTCCTTCCCACAATTTGACTGTAATTAAAAGCAGCCCAGGCACATCTGTGAAGGCCCTCCTGCCCTGAAGCCTGGCACACCACTAGCAGCTCCCAGAGTGCTTGGCATCCTCCCTCAGCCCACCAGTAGGTACCCAAGAACCAATATGTTCTCCTAACATTTTCAAATAAAAGTTATCTTCTCTTGTGCCAAGAAAGCAACAGCAAATAGGAAAGCTAAAAATTGTGTCTAACCAAAGATGGCTGGAATGGTACCTTCCCACAACTCCCATCTTACTCAGGAGAGCAGGGATCACTAAGGCAACCAGTGTTTATCATTTAAACTGAACTCCCAGGGGCTTCTTCTTGTGGCACTGAAGACACCCCAGTCACTTTTCTGTTTTCAAATCAAACAGTGAATGCCTGTGCTTTTGAAATCCAAGGACAGGGTAATGCAGCAGAAATAGCCCTGCACACAGTATTAGGAGGCCCCCTCAATAACTACGTGTCTAAGGCACTCTCTTCTCTGGCTTTCCCATCTGTAAAGCAGGAATAATTAAACTTGCACTACCTACCTCACTAGGCTGTTGTAAACTCAAATACTCAGATGGATCCCTGGTCTGGGCACATGGATGTACCCTCCAGTGATACTGTTGGCAACCCATCCGGGCCTGGCCATCCTGGTCAACTCTGATTCATAAGTTCACTCACTGGCTCCACCTAACAGGATAGGGAAATTCCTCACTGATTTCTGACACCAAGAAGACACCAGTGAAGCATACAAACTATCCACAAGTGAAAGGCAGAGATAAAGACAGACAGAGATAGGTGACAGAAAGAGATAAATGTGATCGAG